CTTTCAGCTGTTTGCAATGAACAAATCAAACAAAAGAAATTGAAGAAATTTCAAATGCTTCAAGTGGATTCCCCAAATTTAACTGAAAATGCAACTTAAAATTACTTCTCCAGTCTCAAAATGGGGTTCAAGTCAGGTGACTGTGTTGGCCACCATAGAATTTTTCCAGGAATTCTTCTGCAACCAACCCTTGGTGGAATTTAAGGTATGGTTGGGATCATGGTCTTGTTGGCAGGTTCAATGATGCCCATATTTCAGTTTCCTCACACATGGCATGACGTTTTCTCCTAGGATTTCCTGATACTTCAATGAATTTTTGCACTTACTCAAGGATTTTTCACAACCTGCCTTCTCAGAAATCTGGTTGAAACCATTAAAAGCTTCCATTTTCTGCCCTGTCCAGGTAGTATAACCAATGTTCCTTTAAGTTTAAACTTGTGAACTATGCTTCGAACAGTGTCTCTAAGAACATTCAGTGCCTTCACTATCTCTTTGTATCCTGTTCCTTGTTTGTGAAGGGCGATGAACTCTTCTCTTAACTTTATGGACCATTCTTTTGACTTAGCAATATTTCTAATATCCAGTCAAATGTGACACTCCCCTAGCCAGTTCAGGTATTTCAAGTGTCCAAGCTCAAGCACACCTGGTGCAACTAATGATGCTCTTGATAAGTTGCATCAAGTGTGCTTGAGACAACTCTTTTGGATATTTGTGCTGTTGTAAGGGATTCTATTCAGGGGGTTGAATAATTTTAAGATTGGAGAAGTCATAAGTTACATTTTCAGTTGAATTTGGGGAAACCACTTGAAGCACTCTTTGTGTTACGCTATTTCAATTGCTTTTGCTTGATTTGTTCATTGGAAACAGCTGAAAGTCTGTAAATTTTGATAACCAGCCTGATTTTCAATAGGGGTTGAATAAATTAGATTACAACTGTATATAAAAGTTTCATGTCAAGAGCAGCGCAACGGAGCAGCCGCCATTTCCAACAGCTCTGATCACCTAGAGCAAAATCGGCAAATCCAAAGCCCATCGACTGAAACATGCTATGGATACCAATTCTAGGCATTCTGCTGAATCCGTAAATGCCTTTTTTCCCCAGATACCAGGCACAAAACGCCACACCAAAGGCTCTGGGGCCTACTGCGCCCGCGACCAGGACCTAGCCAGAGAATTAACAGCGTGGCTTGGGTCGGGCACACAGCACACAGAGGCAGACTTCTACACCCCAGAAGAAATGGGACAGAGGTACCAAAAACCAACCCCACGTGCTCCCAAACCCCTCCAGCCGCATGAACCCGAACCGCCGTGGAAACTTCACCCTCAAGGTCTGAAGATGAGAACTCCGTACACGGCATGGCCACAGACTGAGAAAACCCACAGACCACAGGAGAATCAGCCCCACAGCTACCAAGCACGATATCCAGATCATGCTGGCTGGACTCCAACACAACTTGCAGCAAATGTGGCAGGCAGACCTAAAGGGGCTAGAGGCTGAGGTACAGGTGGTGACAGTCCGCACTCAAGCCACAGAACAGGAGGTGAGAGATCTACGCCAAGACCTAAATGCACTGAAAGACACAGTCACCCAGATGCAAACCGCACAGTCCAATATTACCAGGCAAGTTAACCTGCTAGATGACAGGGGCAGGAGAAAAAAAAAAAATGTCAAGATCGGGGGGTATCAGAAGCAGTACCGCTGGAGGAACTTGCTCTTATCTCCTTATATTTCTGATTTATAGTTTGATACCCTAAGAACGCACAATACTCCCACCACTGATGCCAAAGCGCTGCCCATCCACTTGTAGACCCACTGCAGACTACACTGACTGGGTAAAACTAGCTGGCTCTGGGCTGCAATACACCCCCCTCCAATACCCTTGAGGGATGGAGAAAAGCCAGCAAGGGAACGGCAAGATTACCCCCAAATGACAGGTACCCTATAGAAACTACCCGAAGCGGACCAACGCTCTCACTCCCCCACAACCCTAGCAGGCACCGAACAGACCATCACCACACTAGTGACACTCGTCTAGCTGAGATCAGAAACCTCTCATTGATACACAACACGGCTAAACATAGTCCCCATAAGACAAGAGTGCTAACCAACCCACTCATTAACATAGGACGCCCTATACTACCCATGGTAAGCCCCTCAGGCGGTACCATACCCGCAACTTACCTCTACCACTAGAAGCCCCCTCCCCCGCCCACATATGATGAGCCCATTTAACCATTCCAAACACATAGAGCTGAATAGATCCCTATGAACGACTAGACCACTTCAAAAAGTGCAAACCATCTCTTGGCCAGGCATGTCCTGCACCCTATTGACTAACAGCCTATATGTTACCATGTTCTATGGCGTTATGGAAATGCTATGACTAATCTTTATGCACTGAAAACAAAACTAAAGAATTTACTAAAAAAATAAATGAAAAAAAAATTGATATCAAAAGACAGGCCTATTTGTCCTGAACAAAATGATATACAAGTGTGGAAGTACTTAAAGGGAGAGAGGTAAATTATGGTCGACAAAACATATAGCTCAAAGTCTATATTTTGGTTCAGAATTTGGACTTTAAAAGATATGGACTCAGAACAGACCCTTGATGGGCACAACTTGCCACTTTAAAGTTTTCCAGGAATAACTACTCTCTGTGTTTAAGACACTGAACTCCAAAACCAATGATTTTCACCTAAACCCACCGATTTTAATTCACCCTGTAATTTTATTTTCAAACATATTCTACTTCATAAAAATTATACAATAATGACATTGAATAACATAGTAAAACAAATGCATCCTGACCAATAACACTGGAAGAAGTTTGCCATTACCCAAGCCTGTCTCTAAATGAAAGAGTGCTAGATCCAGGAACAAAAACATATACATCATGTAGCCCATAGTCTCATATAGGCAAATCATGTTTATTAATACTAATTACCAATACAGGACTGGCAAAAGTGGCAGGGGAAAGTTGCCCTAGCACAAATAGTGGGCAGCAGACTCTAAATTTCTCTGCAGATTAAAAGAGTTTAGTAAAAGTACAGTAGGATTTACACAATCTTTGCTAGTACAGCTAGAAAGGCAGCATATAGACAACCTAGATCTTTATGGGTTGGCAGTGTGTCCCTTTAAGTACAGTATCTCACAAAAGTGAGTACACCCCTCCCAGTTTTGTAAAAATGTTATCTTTTCATGTGACAACACTGAAGAAATGACACTCTGCTACAATGTAAAGTAGTAAGTGTACAGCCTGTATAACAGTGTAAATTTGCCCTCAAAATAACTCACACAGCCATTAACGTCTAAACTGTTGGCAACAAAAGTGAGTACACCCCTAAGTGGAAATGTCCGAATTTGGCCCAATTAGCCATTTTCCCTCCCCGGTGTCATGTGATTCAGTGTTACAAGGGAGCAGGTGTCTTAAATTTGGTGTTATCGCTCACACTGGTTAGTGGATGTTCAACATGACACCTCATGGCAAAGAACTCTGGCAACCAGTTTATGAGTACAATGACAAGTGTCTTGCCTACAGTCAAGCATGGTGGTGGGAGTGTCATGGTCTGGGCCTGCATGAGTGCTGCCGGCACTGGGGAGCTACAGTTCATTGAGGCAACCATGAATGCAAACGTACTGTGCAGAGCATTATCCATTATTGTTCTCTGAAAAGGCAGTGTTTGCATGAAAATGCCTGCGTAGAACGATTATACTCACCAGAACAACTACATTAAACTGTAGTTATGGTGACTATAGTGTCCCTTTAAGTAGGTTTAGTCATAAAACTGCAGTGAATCTTCCAGATAATTGCAAATTTGGTTCAAAAACAACTTTGTAATTTTTTTAAAATAAGTATTCTCACTTTAGTGAATATCTTCTACAACAGGGGTCCTCAAACTTTTTAAACAGGGGACCAGTTCACGGTCCCTCGGACACTGTTGGGGGCCGGACTATAAAAAAATATTAATGAATATTAACACAGACTGACATACAGATACATACATACTGAAAAACACACACATACTGACATACATACATACACACAGCTAATTTTGTAAAAATTAAAAAGGTAACATTTTACCTTTTTTTGCAGGAGCGTGGCGGTGGTTGTGGCTGATGGGAGTTGGCATGGCTCCCTCAGCCTGGTTCTCTTCCCTCCCAGCAGTACTTTGTGGCTGCGATATTTTTTTTTTTTTTTTTTTTTAAAAAAGGGGCCCGCGGAGATATAGGGCCCAGGCGGGCCGTAGTTTGAGAACCCCTTCTCTAGAATGTAAGCTCATTGAGCAGGGCTCTCCACCCACTCTGTTCCTGTATGTCCAGTTTTCTGGTTACAAATTACATGTCTGTTAGTCCACCCATTGTACAGCGCTACGGAATCTGATGGCGCTATATAAGTAATAAAAAATAATAACCCTGTCAGTGAATACATTCTGAACTCCTCCTAAAATAATTTTTCCAGAGTAGCATCTGGTAACTTTGGTCTCTTCTATTCTGTTCCATAGCTCCCTCTACTGGTTATCTATATCCCATGTTTTGGAGACCTTCTTCTGCCTTGAACATTGGGAGTGATAAAAAAAAAAAAAAATTACCTCAACATTACTTTATTTGTTTTCAATATAATGATCCTTTCATCAATGTTTGACAGGAAGAAGATTCTAAGATTCTTTGTTAAATTAAGTATATGTAAAAAATAAATAAATGAGAAAAGCTCGTGCCTATCTTTTGTAAATTACAGGATCCTTTAGCCATATAGATATAGCTTGGGTCAGGCAGTGTTTGAAAACAGACAGTTTCTATGGTCTTGCCTGCTTCACTCCCTGCATAGAGTTCATGACTAACTGTGTCTTAAGTACACCGCTTGGGGCCACTATATCAAAGTATGGGGATAGTGAAAGAAAATTTGGGCCTAATACACAAACTCACCTACAGAAGGCAACAATTGTACGATGCCAGTTAAACTTCAGACTTTATAAAGCAGTCAAACTATTGTGCTATTGTTTTAGAGGCTGACCGGAAACTGAGCTCACTGGTTACATATATCAGTAAATTAATAAAGCAAAATGTATAACAGAAAAGCAGCATTGTAACAATCTTGAGCTAGCAGGAACAGCATTCCATTAAAATACAATTTACAATTATTCCTGGTCACCTTCTATGTATATATTGTAACGACAACCTCAAATTGAATTCTCAGTATCTATATTCAATCCAAATACAAGAAAAGAAGAAAAAAAAAAAAATACAGTATGCAAACGATAAAGTCAACAGAATACAAACATGACAAAATTGAATCTCACAGGACACTCAAATTTAAAACTTACCAAAGCATAATCTAGAAAACAAATTCAAACAGTAATGGATGAATTTCCTTACCACAGGAGGGCAACATCAAGCATCCCACATTGCACCCAATGATCATACAAACAGGCTTTACAAATGTGAACGTAAGTTGAAACTTTTATTGAACATAATCTGCACGACCAGACAAGCTACGGTACAGATCGCACTATACTTTGAATGCCTTGTAATGACAATAACACCACAAGGTTGTAAATATACAAAGATTTGTGGCACAGGCTTTTTAACATGGGCACACTAACATTTTTGCTGGAGGCTCAAACGGATTCATATGGTCTGAGACATGAATATCAAAAGCATAAGGAATGCCATACGAAAAGAAATATTGAAGGATGGCTTAAAGAATGCTTGCCGTGTTGTGCTGTACATTTGAATGATAACAGTAGGCTCTAGGACTACATTACATGGTTTGTGAATCAGTAGTTTTTTTGCATAATCTCATGTAATATTTACTTTCCATAAGCATTGTTAGGCCATATGCCTCTAACATGTGCTCCAGGATACATGTGGTGTTATGGGAGATCTCGAATGATGCTTCAAAGTCTCACTTCTTCCTGCCTCCTCTCTCTTTCAGAGCAAGGTGGATTGTGGCTCCATTCTGCATATTGTAGTAAGCCAGAGAATTTGAATCTTTAATAAAAATCCCCTGTAGGAGGAAAAAAAAAACAAAATGTAAAATCTCAATATTTCAGGCCTTACATGTTTTAAAAAAATAAAAATAAATAAATAATAAAAAAATTCTCCAAATCTTACATCATACTGAAGCTTCTGCTTTCCAGCTGGCATTCCAGTAGCTTCATGGATTTTAACCTTTATGACGGAGACCTGGAGTGGCAAAAGTTAAGGGATGTTAGACAATCCAAGAATAGACATGACACTTGTACTATATGGACAAAAGTATTGTATTCAGGTGTTTCAATCAGACCCATTGCATAAGGAGTATTAAATCAAGCACCTAGCCCTGCAGTCTATATTTAAAATAAAAATGGTAGTTCCGAAGAGCTCAGTGAAATCAAGTGTGGTACTGTGAAAGAATGCAACACCTGCAATAAGACAGTTTGTGAAATGTAATCCCCTACTAGATATTTCATGGTCACCTGTAAGTGGTATTGTTGGAAAGCAGTATCGCTCATAATAGTCTGTTGGTGTAATGGTCACATGACACAATACGCTTGTGCATTTGTGTTTATATGTATAAAGAAACCAGGCTCATAAAGAATAAATAAAACCAAATAAAATCATTGCTACCCACTTTATCAACACATGGGTTACAGTTGCTTGACAAAGTGAAAAACTGATAAACAATATTTTTAAACATGTTCTATTATTTGAGTTTACCTGATCAGACAATGGCAGTGTAAATGCCAAGACCTGCCCTCCCAGCTTCCATTCTGTTTTGTCCTGCATGTTAGGAACTTGGACTTTGACTGTAACTGGTCCCTGTAAAAACAAACATCAAAGTAAGCACTTTTGAACCATGCATTGGCACATTCATAAGGCACTCTTCCTTGAACTAGACCACAAAAGCCACAAACAGACATACCTTGTTCCTGCGCAAGAATTCCTCTTCTGGCATCAATGAGTCTTCATTCTTCATTTTCTTTGCAGCTGGCTCATCATCCAGTGGGGGTGGAGGATGAGATGGGGGCAACGGTGCTGGTGCAGGCACTTGGGCAACTGGAGGAGCAGGGACAAAGGCTGGGGGAGAGAACAAATATTGGCTTTATCTATTATGCTTCAGACCAAACCAATTTCAGTCACCCATATGTCAGTGGGATTTCTCCCTCTAAGAAACACCATTTGTTAACACACACGCACCTATACACTAATCACATCTGAATACATCAATTCTATTAGCTTGCAGATAAAATGTGGTTATATTTTTTATACAATTAGGAGAATCATTTGATAGGACAGAAATTTTGTATAATATGCTCCTGCTCATAAAGCAAATCATTGAGATTTTTAATTTTTTTAAGCAACTAAAGTGGCAAACATATCACTCACCAGCTGGGACAATCATATGTGGAGAACGCTGTGCCATCATGGGTGGAGGATTGGGTGGCATTGGCACCACATTGATCCTTGGTGAGTGTAGTATTGGTGGCATGGGAGCCGTTAAGACAGAACCTGGTGGAAGACGCACCACAGAGGTCATAGGAGGCCTCTGCATCACTGGCATGGCAGACACCATAGTGGTACGTATAGGAGGTGGCATCTATGGGGAGGAGAAAGAAAAAAAAAAGACAAGAAAACAGTTAATGCAGGGAAATTATAAATACAAGTAAAATGCTGAAACATTTAAAAAAATAAAATATTTATCAAACCTCTAGCAGGTTTTTCAGATTTTGTTTCCCACTTCTCTGTAAGCCTATGATACCTTTCTATAAAAGATAGTTCCTCATTTCTGAACTAGACCTAACACTACTGAAATGTTAATGGAGATGAATAGAAAAACCGAGGCAAGCATGAAATGCACAATCCCTTGAGAATGTATTCCATGCTTTCCTGAGCAGCTCCAGCAAAGAGGTTTGTCAATGAGAATCCTCTGATTGGAGTATTCTCTATTTAGGGAGAGGCTTCCAAAGGCAGCAGAAAAAAAAACCCCAAAGAAAAATAAAGACACTCTTTCATTGGGTGCATATCTACTCGAGTTCTAGAAATAAATGCACACGCAATTTCATTGGGTGTTTACCTATTCATAGACTTCAACATTTATATGCCCAGTGCAACGTTAAGCTGATTATTCACCATCCAAACAAATGGCACGCCAAGGACTTTAAAATCAAAATAAGACTTTTCTTTTGCTATGATAACCTTCTTCGATATAATTTTAATTCCCCTGTCCAATGTAGTGTTTCTTTAAGCATGTAAGTAAGACATTAGACAAGGCTTACCGAGGGTGGTCGAGACACTGGTGTGTTCATCTGTTGTTGGTGGGATAGTGGAGGTGGCCTAGATGCAACATTCATAGGTGGTGCAGAGCTGGTCATGGTTGATGCAGAAGATGGAGGTGGAGGTTGAGACATCTCATTGGGCTTGCTGGGACCAATCTTGTCCTTGCCATCCTCTTCTGGCACCAGTCCCTTAGCCTTGTGAATGGCCTCAATTTGCTCCTGTAAGGTTATATTGGCTTGCGCTGCTTGCTGGGTACGTGCCATGCTGCCAGAGTGCCCATCCCATGTTACCTATTGTGAAAGGAGAAACACGAGGAGATGAAACAAACAATAAAAAGTACTATTTTGTCCCAGATTATGACCTTGGATCAAGAAGATACCTTTTCTTCAGGCTTCTGGATCTCCTCTTCTCCAATCTTTTTACCAATGGCTGTTTCTTCAACACCGAAGATATCGGTACGACGTTCAGCCAACTGCTTCAAGCTGCTCTCAATATCCAGCCCTGAGAAGAAAAAGTTGGAGCTGAAAAACTAAGTAACTTAACTGTACCATGCAAAAAACAGTTTTTCCACTTGATAAAGCCCCAAGAGGGTGAAACGTGATTTTATTCTGTATTTCACTAAAAATATTTTGGCTACCCTTTTATACCTTTTAGTCTGTTACTTTTACCTGGCATCCTGCACATACTTCCAAATACCCCTATGGACGAACGCATAAAGAATCCTAGGTGGGGATTATACCACACACGCCTGATACAGATACATTCACTTTTATGAATATTGGTAGATGGAATTTTACTACTTTAAGACTATCTAGCTACCTGGTATTTTTTATTCTTCTATTGTTGGAATATATTAAGGACTGTTTACTGTGTTTTTAGAGATCTTTTAAATCTCTTATCTTGGGCACTACCTGTATTTTGTTTTACGTGCAAAAAACAATGGTGACAAAGATGACACCCTGTAAAATAAAGTAACTGATTGGGTTCTGTCAAAAGTTTAAAATCACATTGAATCCATTACTGATGAATCCTAGAATTAAAAACAATTTTGATAGAAAAATCGGATGAAAAGTGACCTTAAAATACAGAATTCGTCAGCAATTTCCTGTTATTCTCATACCAGTCATGCAGGGAAAAATGTGCATAGTAAAAGGAGAGCAAAAACTGAAGATAGGGACCCCTTACACCTACAAAGGATTTTTTTTTTCTTTCAAACTGATAAAGCCTGTCATATGTGAAATGTGTTGGGGATTTTGTTATCTGATTTTTGCCTGCATTTATTTAGAATAAAGTCTTTGCAGTTTTGGACCTATTCTTATTTTTATTATTGCTGTATTGTACTTTCCTTACTTTTTTTCGTCAATTTGTCCTAGTATTTTATGGTACAGAGAGCACTATATATTCTCCTTTTTTCTTTTATGTACATATACGCAGATGAGAAATTTGCAGAGACAATAAATCTGTAGGTAGGCATTGTACCGCCTCACACTTGGAAATTTGGAGCTTTATACAACAGTTCTCTCTTTGTGAGTGTACCTCTTACTTTTTAATCTAGCATAATATTTTATTTTATTTTTTTGCACAATTCTGTACTACTGGAATTTTTTTTAGTTGTGTCATTTCATATATCATACTGCGAGACATCATGGATACCATCTTTACAACCTGAGAATTGGACATATACTTAAGTATATCATTAGGTGGGGATTGAAGGAAAGCAAGTTTAATTAAATGATGCCATGTTAGTGTATAGATCAGGCTTCCCCAAACATTGCTGAATTACAACACCCATGATTCTTTGAATTAAATAGATAACCAAAGAATCATGGGAGTTGTAGTTCAGCAACATCTGGAGGGACGAAGTTTGGGAAAGCCTAGTATAGATCATGCCCCCGTGCTTAATTCTATGCAATTCAGGTGTTTGATCACTTGTTTCTATTTATGCAGACCTAGCTTCATCTCCTCTGGTTGTGACTCAGTCTCCATGCACACACACAAACACAAAAAAAGTTTTAAAAAATATTTTTACTTTAGAAGTTTTTATCTCTTGCTCAGTTAATTAACTTATACATATGAGGCTACTACATTGCTCTAGCAGGCAATTAGAGCAGGAGATAGATTCTAAATTAAACATACTAATAGTTTTGCACACAAATTTCTTTTAAGACACACATGCAAAACCTCACTAAATGACGCACACAGATGCACACACTAACACATACTGTGTCTTCACCCGCAACCATTCTGATGTTTTTTCTGGACTAGCAGTTTATATTCACATGCAGCCTCATCCCCTTCTCTTTATGTGCAAAGTCTACACACCCAGGGTCGTCTGCCATCATGTGGACAGCCTTAGCTTTTGCACATCACAAGGAGCAACTGGTTGCAATCACTCCTCACACAGCCAAATGGAAGCTTGCCCCGCCAGCCCCAGCTAGAGTATCCTAGGCAAACAAGCTTATGCTGGTCATGATCTGGCAGGATGCCTATGATGTTATAATGGGCTTTTGAGTGCTGCAAAATTGCTAGGGAAATGCCTCATAAGTCCATAGGTTGCTGAACCCTGTTCGGACGTAAAGTACAAAAAAAAAAAAATACACAAGGTAATTAAGGGTGTTTAGTTTCAAACACCTGATTTACTACTCTGATTGTTCGAAGATGAGAATATAAAATATATATATATATATATTTTTTTAATGACTCCTTACCTGGAGCGTACACCTCATCGTCTCCTTGCTTTTCACGGATAGAGCGATCCCTCTGCTCCAACCAGCGAGGATCCAGCAGCCCAATTCGCATATGCTCTTGCATCTTACTGGCAGGAATCTTTTCTCCGGTAATGGGGGACACCAGATACTCATCTGAGGCAGGGGCAGGAGGCTGAGGCTTGTTTGCTATGGACACAAGAAAAAAAAAATTAAATAAAAAGGATTTTCATCTGTCATTCACAAGAAATGTGGGTGAAGCGTGCATATGCATATTCGGATTACGGGACATTTAGTGATGTAATGACCAGCTTATATTTTAGCTTTCAACAGCTAAAATGAATACCAATATTATGACCAGTTATATTATAACCACTGTTTTAGTCAATTTTGATTACAGCTTTCTGCTGGTTTCACTGACTGAATTGGACTTCATCACCAACCTTTGGGATCGTAATCCTTTCTGACAATGACTTGATCTGGTGTAGGTGGCAGTGGTGGAGGCATGGGAGCTTCAGGTGGAAGAGGAGCTTTTTGGGGATATTCTTCATCATCAGAACCCTAGAGAGAGGAAACGTGAATAAGCAATGGTAGATGTAACATTTCTGTCCAGCCAAGAAACAACTTGTTGTATACATTATTATTGGTTGGCTAGAGAGCAACCCCCTTAGCATCAGTTAGGATCCAAATTGACTAAAGGAAATTGTTACTGTTTATCTCCATCCCTAAAAACTGTTCTTGAAACAGTTAACATCTGTTATACTAACAGACACTATACACTTCACACAAGAATCTACCTTTCCCTAGTGGCTTCGGTTTAACCCCTTAAGGACACATGACATGTCACGATTCCCTTTTATTCCAGAAGTTTGGTCATAAAGGGGTTACAAACGGTAGAGCAAACAACTTTACATATATTGTATCCTCTGAGATGGACTGACTCATAAATAAGGCTAGAGGTAAATAAGGAGTATAAATTTGTGTTTAATCACTTCTGTCCAGTGAAAAGTTTTACCAAGTGCTAAAAAAAAGAAAAGGAAAGACTTCAAATTATAACTACAAATAACCACTTAAAATAAGTGTACCAAAATATATATTTAACAAGTTACACAAACATCTCACCTCATCCATATCTTGAACCTGAGTATCTTGATCCATTTGAGAAGATTCGTCACCCTTACTGTCTTTCACCTCCTCTTCATCATCTGATTCTACCTCCATCTCCACTTCTTCACTCTCCCCAAACTTCTCGTAACGCTCTTGTATCAGAATACGAGCCCCTAACTCCTCTGGGGTGGTGGGAGGTGGGAAATTACCTACGGAAAAACAAACCAACCAAAAAATAAAAACGAAAACAGCCATTAATATCCACATTATTTAACCACAATAAAAATGCAATCTCCTTAAAGGACCACTCGAGGCACCCAGACCACTTCAGCTTAATGAAGTGGTCTGGGTGCCAGGTCCTTCTAGGGTTAACCCATTTTTTCATATGAATGAGTTAAGCCTTCCCCTATTTCCTCTAGTGGCTGTCTCATTGACTGCCACTAGAGGCGCTTGCGTGCTTCTCACTGTGATTTTCACAGTGAGAGCACGCCAGCGTCCATAGGAAAGCATTATGAATGCTTTCCTATGTGACCGGCTGAAATGCGCATTCAGCCGATGGGGAGGAGAAGAGGAGGATCAGAGGAGGAGAGCTCCCCGCCCAGCGCTGGAAAAAGGTAAGTTTTATCTCCTTTCCAGAGCCGGGCGGGTGGGGGCACCCTCAGGGCACTATAGTGCCAGGAAAACGAGTATGTTTTCCTGGCACTATAGTGGTCCTTTAATTTACATGTTGCTCTGAGGCTATCCTAACAAAACAACAACTATAATCTGCAGTTTATGTGGTCTGATCCTGGAAACAAGCGAGCATAAAGCTAATAGTCTCCATTAGCAAGTTTAACCAGTGAGCACAGAGTAATGCAGTACCATAAGGGATCTTGCACATGCATCCCACTATTTAGAATAATGTGTCTGGAACCATGTAAAAAAGAAAATGTGTGTTGATGAAACATAGTGCCATTAAATAGCATTTTAATAAAAACAACATAATAGAAGAAAAAATAAAATTTAGCGCCACTCTTAAACTTGCACTACTCTTGGGAAACAGCAATGGCTGTAAGTATTCATCAAAATAAACACAAACAAACATGTCCACTGTGATGAAAGATTCCACCCAGTTCAAAATGAGCTAAACAGAGGACAAAAGACCTGAATGGCTCAACAAAATATCGGCTGGAATATTTGTGTGGGTATAATCTTTTCAGAAGTGTCACAAATCCTGTAACGACAGTGGGAACAAATGTCTTTTAAAACATCAAATCTCTGAGTAATTTGCTTTCGTCCTGCCAAATTCTGATTCTTTGAAAGGGGACATAACAAAACCTTGCTTTGAAACTAGCAAGATTCTGTTAAGTTAGTCTCCCATCAGATACTTGCACAGTTTGAGGAGCATGGTGATGAAGTTAGGATAGCTCTTTATCACTACATCCAGTGGTTGGTTGTATAAAACCAAAACATACATCACAACTGAGGTTTTAGCAGAGGAGGGCCATGAAGGCAGAGGCTATGTTTACACTGAGGACTTTTCTTACCCTGCTCATTTGGTTGAAAGTCAACTGTCTCCACTACAACAAAATCATGCCAATCAATTTGTGCATAAGCTACACGCTCTCGCTCCTTCTCTTCCTCTTCCTTTTTTCTCTCCCTCTCTTGGAATTTTGCCCACTCAACACGGTAACGCACCTAAAGAAACAGAAAATTTTGAAACATACAAATTAAACGATCACATAACACCAACTACTTACTCTCTTACAGAAAGCGATGACCCTCAAACTCCAGCACACAGGGTTAGTAAAAATTTGCCTTAATAAAACCATAACAAAAGTAACTATTTTAATCTTGTTTGCTAGATACTTCTATACTGTGTAATCAAATGTGTAACCAAAAATGTGCAAATATAACTAGCGCATTTGCTTATGTGCACTAAAAGGTTCAGTCTAGCACCATGCATTATTGCAAAGCCATGATACTTAGAGCACCCAGAGTCCGCTCATTACTGAGAATAGGCCATAGCATGGCTATTCAAACTTCAGCATTCCAGATGATGTTGACTAAATCTCCCCAGAAGCTTCACCACCTTAATGGCTGTAAAAGCATTATGGGAAATGTAGTCCACATCATCTGGAGTGCCAAAGGTTGCCTACGCATGGGCTATAGCGTCAATTACTTGTAAAAATCAGAATGGCCAAAGACAACCCACTAAGGCTGTCTAATACAGTAACCACTGTGTGTTCCATGCTGTTTATTTTGTCCATATTATGCATATGACATCTACAGGTAATACACAAAATCATGAAGATTCTCTCTCCTCTCACTGGAGTGAAAAATGCCACAGACTGTATATGGGTGGTTCATGGCCTAGCCAATATTAAAACCTGGATCACTAAACAGTGAACATGCAGCATAACAGCAATGCAACTCACACAGCTTTTTCTGTATAGAACTCCTCCATCCCTAGTTTCCCTAACGTCTGTTCAATATGTTGCAGCTCAGTTTCTGAATACCTGCACATGTACTTGTATGGTGTGTGTCATGCAAAAGCCTACTATGTATTGCAGGCTCTCAACAGTAAGCAGCAAACACAGCTTCTACCAATTCGCAGAAGTCTCATCCAGGTTTTTTTTTTTTGTTTGTTTTTTTTTTTATGAACGAAACTACTAAAAAAGTGATCTACTGCTAGAAAAATTATCCATGGAATTTGCTAAGCACGCCGATTAAGTGAAAAGCAGGCTTTGTGAGAATCTTATGCCACTTTAAGAAGCTGTATGTACCAAAATGAAGAAAAGACATAAAATAAATCCAACATGGGTAAACAATGTTTAATTCAGACTGTAATCCACATCTACCAGCACCCAGCTAATGAAAACCACAACGTAAGACTGGAGACAAATTAAAAAATTTTTTTTTTTTCTTAAGTTAAAGTTAAACTCAAAAGGTCCAAAAGATACAAGCATTTAATAAGAAAAGAAAAAAACAAACAAACAAACAAACAAACAAAAAACGAACAATTACCTGATCTAAAACCTCTGTGGGGTGTTCAGCCTCTTTCTTCAGCTTGGGAAATAAGGATTTAGGAGGTATCAGGATCTGAAAGAGTGAAGATTGCCAACATTGAGCTATTCGATATCAGAGCTAGAGAGTACAGAGTCATGTTTATTAATAACCTTGTTGTAAATGCAGTCAGTCCCATAGCAGCTTGAATGTGACTCTTGGCTTTTACAACAGCTGCCTCTAAAGGCACTCAGAAAATATAAAAATATATAGCTAACTCAATAGTAATACTCAGAACAACCTAATAGTTTGACTAAGAAGAGAAAGGGTTAAACACTAAACATTTCCTAGATGCCAATTTTCCCCTTAAAATAAATGAATAAAAACATATAGACCAGCATGGGAGGCTCAAATATCATAACCTCATATAATCCCTAACCTTGCTCTGTTTTTTGTTTAGCCTCATAAGCATAGTCACCTTTGCCTGCGGATGGGGACCTCATCCCTACGTAGTGATAAACATGGACCTGTATTTTAAGTACCAATTAATAATGCTCCCATCTGGTTCACACTGTAGAGATGCCACATAGCACCCAGGTCACATTGAGGGGGAGAGGGGGAGCAAGTTACCAAAACCTTATATAGCAGCACCTGAGATTTTACTGGAGAAAAGAGAAATAAAACAAGCACGTGATGAGTAAAACCTATCAGTTTAGTTTTAATTCTACCTCATCAAGCCATACCTTTGTATACTGTTCCACAAGCTTGGTGAAGTAATTGAAGAGGCTGTGTTGAGGCCGAAGGAAGTCAAACTGGTAATTCCTCTGCTCTTTTTGCATCAGCTGTGTCAGAAACTGACGGCCATTACGAGCCACAAATTGAGCAGTAAGCTTTACGACATCCAGGTCAAAAGCAGAGATAGAAGGTGGATCAGCCACAAACTCAAATTCTGGAGGTGGTTCCTTTGGGATAATGGTTTCCTGAACAACTTGGGCCTGAACCTGGCAAACATAATAAAGAGCATCACCATACAAAATCAAGGAAACAATTATAACACTGTCACTATGCAATAAGAGTTCTGTGATATATATTGCTCATATCCTGGAATTTCAGATGTAAAAAAACAAACAAAAAAACCTTTATGTTTACAAGCCTGTCAGAAGACAATACACTTCTACTTACCTTCTGAGGCAGCTGCTGCACAGACTGTTGTTGTTGCATTACTTTAGGAATGGCTGCAGAAGGTTCTTGGGCTTTTCCTTCTTTAAACTCATTGACCTTGTGGCGGTAGTAGGCATGGTAAGGGTCATTTGGATTCAAAAAGTTAAACTTGGGATTGTTGATTTCATTCTGTCTAATCCTGGCTTCAAACTCTGGACCATTTCTGCAATATGAGAGATTAGTGGTAGATGTGTAGGATTCAATCCAACAGTTTGCTATACAGGTATAATTACCTGGTCATATAATGCAGACCAAAAAAAGTAATATTTAATGAAAAAAATAAGATAAGATACCTATATAATGGACAATGGAATGACCAAAAGTGTACAAAAAGCAGCAATACATTCAAGTATTTCATAGCAGAGAATGAAAACAGCAAGAAGCAAACAGTTAGCTATTCAAATCATGGGGAGTGATTAAAGAATGCACAGATAAAATAACCTAATAGCACCTAGTCTGTGATAAAGAACATATATTAAAAGTAAATAAACAAGTGTTTCACAATATACATTAATTATTTTATAACTGAAGCTGAAATTGTAATTGAATCTTAATATAGTGGTTTTGGTGCAAAGATCCTGTGGCAATTGAGGTGCATGCGCCATTGTGTCTGATTCTCATGAGAAGTACCGGATTGGCCAGGGATCACCTGTCATTACAGCCATCTTACTACTAATAAGGGGGAATAAACATTTCATTTTTATTACAACAGACTGAGTGACCTTCTAGAGAGAAAGTGTCAGGTTACTCTAATGGAAAAGGGGGGTGGGAGTAACTTCCAGAATTAATTAACTAAGACAAAGGAAAAAAAAACAAAAAAAAAACACCTGGGTAAACCATTTAGGAGGTAAATCATTTAGTGCAAAGAGTAACCCAAATAATATTAAATAAAACATCACTTAATATATTTGTAAAAAAAAAAAAATTCTAGAAACTCTTATGAATAAAGTTAATATCTATGAAGTATGGAAAAGAAAATCCTACAAAAAAAATATTAATCCTTAGGAGGATTATGATCAATTAATATATGTTCCAATTGATCTGTTTGAAGAAAACGATCAAAAATAAAACTAATACAGTGGTCCAAAGAATAATAAGTGCAATGAATAATCTATGTGAAAAAATACCTAGGACAAAAATGAGTATATACAAGTGGGAAATGATTTAGTGATCAAACCATACATAGTTGTATGAAACCAAAATGTAATGAGATGTGTAAATGTTACATTTGTATCATATCATCTTAGCCAGGAGGAGAAATATATAATGTGACAGATGAACAGAGCAGTGAACAAATCCTGCAGGTTGTAGAGTTCCCTACTCTATTGTGCCTTCGAGGGCACCCCTTAAAAAAATTCTAGTCCCTCCTCCCTTCTCTTGGTACAATGCCTAGTCGTCTCAATACAGCAAAAGAGCTATGAGTCTCTCTCGTGGGACTAGGTAAGTATGGTGGAAAGCGATCCCAACACAAAGTGAACATAAATAAAAAAAAAAATAAAATAAAGTAAATAAATAAATAAATAAAAAGAGTATGGCTAGTAAGGTCAAAATGATTTTAATTCATGCTGTCCCATATCAGTTAGACCAGCATTATACTATGTATACGGCCGACGCGCGTTTCACCGTTAAGGCTCTTCCAGGGGAACCGAGTCTAAAGAGGCAGTGGTTTAAATAATTCACCGACTGAGGAAGCCCCTGGCACGGGGCGAAACGCGTTTCGGTAATATAGAGACTCCTTGTTGATTTTGGACTCTATTTTATTATACTGTATATGTTTTATTGGAGATAGTCTCCTGATTTTTTACCCTTATTGGGATCAATAAACACTTTACTTTTTAAGTGTTTCCAGCTCCATTTCTTTTTGGCTAACAGAAGATCCTCAGAAGGAAAGGGACATCCTATTAATGGTCCCAGTGCTGTTCCCATGAGAGCCACATGTCCTTGTTTGGCTCTCGGTTTGTGAGTACCTGACTACCTTCATTCATTAATTGGATATCCATTTGCTGACAATATTACACTATATTGCTGTTTTTATTCTCTTTTAGATATTTTAAGAAGTTTGATCCACCTATTGTATGTATTGTATTTTATGTTTATTCTTGAGTGGTATAAGGGGTTTCCCACTCAGGTGTTAGATCGCACTCACACCGTTCTCACTGTATTTATTACACTTTTTATTATTGTTTAAATAAAGTGCCTCTATCATTGATTGGATCTTCATTCACCAATGGGTTAATGAGAGGAAAGGTTGTGGGTAGGGCTCTGCTCGCTTGCAGTTTTAACCTTTAACATACTTTCTATATGTAGAAAAACATAATCCTTTATTATAGCTACAAGTTTCTATAGCAACTTGATATGCTGATAAAAGTAGATAGCCGAGATTAAAGGACCACTATAGTGCCAGGAAAACATACACGTTTTCCTGGCACTATAGTGCCCGGACCCCCTCCCGCCCGGCTCTGGAAAGGGGTAAAAACGTACCCTTTTCCAGTGCTGGGCGGAGAGCTCTCCTCCTCCGATCCTCCCCGTCGGCTGAATGCACACGCGCAGCAAGAGCTGCGCGCGCATTCAACCGGTCGCATAGGAAAGCATTTTTGCAATGCTTTCCTATGGACGCTTGCGTGCTCTCACTGTGAAAATCACAGTGAGAAGCACGCAAGCGCCTCTAGTGGCTGTAAAATATCATGCCTCAACAGTAAAAAGAGAATAAAAAAAAAAATAAAAAAAATTATTATATATATATATATATATATATATATATATATATATATATATATATATATATATATATATATATATATATATATATACACACACACACACCACGACATGAATGCACTCACCTGGCCACGAAGCTTGCAGTTTTATCCACAATATTTCTGACTTCAGGAGGTGGATATATAATTCCCACTATTGGCTTGGATGGAACCACCTCTTCTTTCTTTTCCTCCTCCATTTGCTTTTGAGTCATGAGGGGAAATATAAATAAATAAATCACAATCAAAAGGGAAAATTATTTTACAGACAGGAGTACATCCTTAAACACATTCCTTTTTAATCTACAGGACTTAAACAGTAACAATTTCTACACAAACCTGGCATTAACTGAACATGCCGACAGCAATCATACTCCTATCACTCTCTGGCAGCCAGTACATGCTGTGATCAGTGAGATCAGGGCATGTACAGTGCTCTGATAGGCATTTGATTCTTGTCAGCAGTCACAATCAAATCACTCTCAGAAAGCCAGTACATGCTGGGATCACTGAGATCCCAACATGTACAGTGCTGTTACGGATAGGAGAATGATTACCATCCGTTCTATTGCGGTCAGCCAGCCAAATACATTACTTTAATCATTCACGGTCTCACCTCCCTTCCTTCATCTGAGCTCCGCATGCTGGAAATCACAGAAAGGGGTGATTTGAGGTCATGATGAGGCGCCTCACTGGTTTGCGGCTAGTGTCCAAATGCAGGACAGTATGTGACAATTTAGGAGTAAATTAACTGTAAATTACAAGGCCAATACTGATTCAGCTGAAATTATTATGCCAGATATCTACTCTAATAAAATCGGCAGAATTAATAATTAGTCTATCCCTATTTTTGAGCAAAGCAATCTTCACCTCGTCTCCGTTAATTTTTTTTTAATGTCAATTACTTGTCGTGAAATATCCCCATTCTATAATTGTGAAGTACTACAGAATATGTTGGCAATAGATAAATGCAAGTAATACCAATATCGTCAATATCATCCTTACGTATGCAGCTAGTACGTGTTGGAGAAATAGTTACATAGCTGAAAAGAGACTTGCGTCCATCAAGTTCAGCATTCCTCACATTTGTTTTTTGCTGTTGATCCAAAAGAAGGCAAAAAAACCCAGTTTGAAGCACAATTTTGCAACAAGCTAGGAAAAAAATTCCTTCTTGACCCCAGAATGGCAGTCAGATTTATCCTTGGATCAAGCAGTTATTACCCTACATTGAAAGATTATATCCTTGAATATTCTGTTTTTGCAAGTATGCATCTAGTAGCTGTTTGAACATCTGTATGGACTCTGATAAAACCACTTCTTCAGGCAGAGAATTCCACATCCTGATTGTTCTTACAGTAAAAAAACCTTTCCTTTGCCTTAGACGAAATCTTCTTTCTTCCAGTCTAAACGCATGGCCTTGTGTCCTATGTAAAGTCCGGTTTGTGAATAGATTTCCACACAATGGTTTGTATTGGCCCCGAATATATTTGTATAATGTTATCATATCCCCTCTCAGGCGACGTTTTTCTAAACTAAATAGGTTTAAATTTGTTAACCTTTCTTCATAGCTGATATGTTCCATTCCTTTTATTAATTTTGTAGCCCGCCTCTGCACTTTTTCTAGTGCCATAATATCCTTCTTTAGAACAGGTGCCCAAAATTGCACAGCATATTCATAATGTGGTCTTACCAGTGATTTATAAAGAGGCAAAATTATATTCTCGTCCTGAGAATGAATGCTCTTTTTAATGCATGACAATACCTTACTGGCCTTGGCCACTGCGGATTGACATTGCACATTGTTGCATAGTTTGTTGTCAATAACAATTCCCAAGTCCTTTTCGTGTGTTGTTATCCCTAATTCGCTTCCATTTAGGGTATACGTTGCTTGTGTATTCTTTACGCCGAAGTGCATAACTTTGCATTTTTCAACATTAAATTTCATCTGCCATTTGAGTGCCCAGTCCCCCAGTCTATCTAAATCCCTCTGCAGCAAAGTAATATCTTGCTCACATTGTATTATTTTACAAAGTTTTGTGTCATCTGCAAACACAAACATGACTTTCAATGCTGTCTTCAAGATAATTTATAAATATGTTAAATAGAAGGGGTCCCAGAACAGACCCTTGAGGGACACCACTTGTCACCTCTGTCCAGCTTGAAAATTTACCATTAATGACAACTCTTTGTACTCTTTTTATAAGCCAATGTTCTACCCAAGAACAGGCATTTTCATCTAGACCGATTTCCTTGAGTTTGAACACTAATCTATTGTGTGGAACTGTATCAAATGCCTTGGTAAAATCCAAATAGATCACATCCACAGCAACACCCTGATCTATACTTCTACTTACTTCTTCGTAGAACGCAATCAAGTTAGTTTGACATGACCTGTGCTACATAAAACAGTGCTGATTTTTGCTGATAACCATGTTCTTCTCAAGGAATTCTTGAATATTATCCCTTAATAACCTTTCAAATATTTTTCCAGCCATGAAGTATCTAGAGAAGTGATGAGGAAGAGTCAAGGCAATCATAGTGTCTGAGCATTGCATAAGGACCACCTTTTGAAGTATGGTGGGAGAGATATTAAACATGCTTATTGGCAAGAAACATTTGCAATAGAGGAGAAAAAAAACAAACCTCTGAAGCGTAAATGTAATGGTTATATATTGCAAAGCCCTCACTAATACACATATTGAGGGTTAGTTTTATATGGATGGGAAGCTTGTTCAGTGATTACTTTAAATATATTTAGAGATATTAGGCTGTTTATCTACAACCACCTCAAAAGGACACTCTGGACCCTTTAACCACATTAGCGTGTGTGTGAAGAAAGCCACCTGGCTTTCAAGCAGATAACTGGTCCTGTTACTTCCTGGTTTGGTGAGCTCAGTTGAGCTTAAATCAAGAAGCAGAAGCACCTGCCTTGGAAGGCCTTCACATTCAGCTGTATTGAGAAGTCTGTGATTGGACAGCCACAAATAGTCTAGACAGGCTTACAAAGGCAGCAGAAAAACGAACTGCAGCTTACAAGCTGTTTTATTTTATTTTTTTATTAGGGAGGTATCTAAATCATAAATAAATGCATACAAGCTTTTGTTGGAGGTGTATCTACTATGCATTTTTTTTTAATAGATTTATTTTGGTAGTGGAGTGCCCCTTTAAAGGGTTACTTCAAAAAGAAATGCGTCACATTCAGACACCTACCACCATGACCACTTCAAATCACTGAGAAGGTTGTGGTGGTTGGAGTAATTGTTTAATTCTAGGAGGACTTCTTGACTACTTATCTCCAACACGATTATAGGAGCTCAGAGGTTGCAATCTCCTTATCTGCATTTAAACTTTTCACCAGATCCTACAGGGATTTATACTAAACAACATTGCAAAGCTGATCTGGACAAGTTAGAGGAACACCAGCATGATGTAGGGACAGAGTATCAGGAGTGGGACGAGTTGGTTTCCCACGCAGCAGATGTCCTAGTTGCACAGGGTGGGCAGCCTTCAGCACTTCAGATGTTGTGGACTACATCTCCCATAATGCCCTTATTAAGTTTTATACAGCACCAACAATATGTAGCAGCGCTTACAGCCATAATGCTTGCAAATCATCATGGGAGATGTAGTCCGCACCATCTGGAGTGCCGCAGGTTGAGAGAGTGAGATAGAGAGTGTGTGTGTGTCTCTCTCACTCACAGTGACGGCCTCTGTAAGGTGTCGGTCACCCCGGCCGCGGATCCCCGGGGACACCCTCCCCGCTCGGCACTCACCTGGACTCCGTCCGGGGGCTGCGGCGCCATCAGCTGTAACGGTAAGGCCGGCATGTTCCTCTCAGCGCTCTGCCCGCAGCCAGCAACACGAATGGAAACCGTCTGGCAGAGCAAGATGGCCGCCTTCTCACGGACAGGAAGAGGCAGGCTGGAGAGCGGGACACACCATGTGACTTGTGGGGGCCAGGATAATTTTATTACACTCACTGACAACGTCCCCACGTAAAGTTTACCAAGGCAAAACAATCATAAAATGAATTCTGTGCATACACGCGGGAAACGGTAATCCACAGGGCCCATTAAATCCACTTTATATCGCGATGTTGGACCTCCCCCACAGAGACGTTACGAATGGTACATTCCCATTTCGCGCTTTGCCTTAGTGGCAGAGCTATAAGCACTAGAGATAATATTGCGCCTGTATTATTCCGACTCTCTCTCAGTTTTTTGAGTTAATGTGCCGCTGTAAGCATTGATTTCTGAGAGCAAAATACATTTAGTTCAATAAAACCTTGTAAACCAAGCCAAGACTGTGACGAGCGGTTCATCTCTTGTGCTTAGAACTCGTATGGTCTCTGCGCTTTCCCCAACGTCGGACGTTAGATGCGTAGTTGTCATAGCAACCACCTCCGTGTACGGCTGAGCTGCAGGTAAAGTGGGCTATGAATTCTATTGCTGTAACTTTCTATATATCACATTAAGTCAACCATTATCCCCACACAAGCAGAGCCAGCACGGGATAAGGAGCGGCTGGGGACACCGTGTAATATTAACCAGTTATTGCCTCGGGTACAGCACTCATAGGACTAGCGAGCTTATTTACTAAAGTCCGAATTGCGAGTAAAGTGATCCCCTGGCAGGTGGGGGTCCTAATTAATTAAACAATAGAGAGGGGACAGACATTATCCCCCACTCCCAATGTCAGTATGTCTGCATCCTGCCACCTCCAATAAAAAAATAAAATAACCCATCCTACCCCCCTGACCTTATTAATAGTGATGGAGGGGGGCAATTCATTTAATACCCATGAATAAAGATTATATTTACCATTACAACTCTTATAGTTGTTCTTATCTTTAGCCCCCAAAAAGGCTAAATAAAAATCCCTAATTCCCTACACAACTAATGAAAAAAATAAAAAAAAATAAACAACTCGCAAAGGAAAAAAAAAACTGGCAAATTATAAAAATACACGGAATAAAATGAATTCATCCTCACCCATGGAGGCCTTATAGCGGGGAATTCCCTTAGTAAGGCATACAAAAAAAAAGAAAAAGTAATTCAGACTAAAAGGTCCCTTTCTTCTATAAACATAGCAGTTTCAGAGAATCCAGCCTCCAAAGCCTCTAGTGGCTGTCTCATTGACAGCCGCTAGAGGCGCTTGCGTGATTCTCACATTCTGAAAATCACAGTGAGAGCACGCAAGCGTCCATAGGAAAGTGTTGTAAATGCTTTCCTATGAGACTGGCTGAATGCGCGCGCAGCTCCTGCCGCGCGTGCACATTCAGCCGAAGGGGAGGAGTGGAGGAGGAGAGCTCCCCACCCGGCGTTGGAGAAAAGGTAAGTTTTAACCCTTTCCTCTCCCCAAAGCCGGGCGGGAGGGGGACCCTGAGGGTGGGGGCACCCTCAGGGCACTATAGTGCCAGGAAAACGAGTATGTTTTCCTGGCACTATAGTGGTCCTTTAATAGAAACAATCTGACTGGTGCAGTGCGGCATTTTGACACACATGCGCACTAGCCTAACAATGCTTTCCTATGGTCAGAATTGATGAGATTTCAAAGTAAATTTCACCAAAATTGAAAAAAATATTCTCCTAAGTCAACTGTGCTTTCAGTTTGCCCACTTTGGCCTAAAATTTGAAATTCACTTACAGTTACAACTCCTTCTTTTATACTCAGCTAGTAGTTATGCTATTCAAATCTAACACCAGTGCAGTAACCAGTTCTTCAATTGTCATTTAATATATACCAAAAAATAAATTCTGTAAATCACCTTAATTCGACTCTTTCTTGTGCCAAAGGGGTCTTCGTTATTCTGAGAAAGTCAGTGAACCTAGATTTATGAACATTGACTTGGATAAGAGACAAATATGATGTGCCTGTTTCAACAAATGGTGATCCCTTATAATAGCTTGGGGATTGGGTTTGAACTATAAATTAAGAATCATTGGTATATTTCTTCTTGCAATTAATTTATATAGAGGTTTTTACATATCATTCACCACTTAAAAGGACACTACACCGCCCAAATAAAAAATAAATAAATGGAAATCATTGTAGTTTACAGCAGAAAGGGTTAATTCTAGAGGGACCTGGCACCCAGATCACTTCATTAAGCTGAAGTGCTCTGGGTGCCTGTAGTGGTCCTTTAATTTCTAAAAGTGTAATTCTATTGAAATATGCACTTTTTGTAAAATGAAAAAAAAGAGAATAATCTTTTTTACATATAAAGCATTTTAGCAAGCTTTAGGGGGTCCGGAGTGTCATAGAAACATAGAAACATAGAATGTGACGGCAGATAAGAACCATTCGGCCCATCTAGTCTGCCCAATTTTCTAAATACTTTCATTAGTCCCTAGCCTTATCTTATAGTTAGGATATGCCTATCCCACGCATGCTTAAACTCCTTTACTGTGTTAACCTCTACCACTTCAGCTGGAAGGCTATTCCATGCATCCACTACCCTCTCAGTAAAGTAATACTTCCTGATATTATTTTTAAACCTTTGTCCCTCTAATTTAATTCTATGTCCTCTTGTTGTGGTAGTTTTTCTTCTTTTAACCCCTTAAATCCGGAGGACGTACAATTACGCCCTCTAATAGGCGGCTCTAAACGCCGCCGGGCGTAATTGTACGCCCTCCGTTTTTTGTTAACTTACCCGGTCGCCGGCGGTCCCACGCCGGCGATCGCGGTGGGGGGGACTCCCAGGGAGCCCCCCGCGGCAGATCCTTCTCCTCCGGTGCTCCCCGGCCATGTGAGAGTGGGGTCCTAGCGAGGACCCCACAATCACATGGCCGGGTAGGCTGCCTCCTGCATTGCCAGCAGGGGGGCTGCCTGTAATGACAGGTGGTCCCCCTGCTGGCTGAAAATAAAATTAAAATTACATTTATTGGTGTAAAAAAAAAAAAATAATATATACTTAGATCATATACATACATACATATATATATATATATATATATATATATATATATACACATATATACACACACACACATATACATACACACACGTACACCGTCTAGGTGTATTTTACTATTAATATATATATATATATTAATATCAAATTACACGTAGACTGATACTGATTAAATATATATATAATTATTGTTATATATATATTTATATATAATATAAAAAAAATAAAAATGTAAATACTTTAAAAAATAAAATTAAAAAAATAATTAAAAATAAATAATTAAAAAATATATAGATGTGTGTTATTTCGTTCTAACTGTTTTGTGAAATTAATATATATATATATATATATCAAAATACATGTAGAACGAAATAATATATATATCTATATACATAAATATATACTTATATATCACTATATATATACCTATATATAAATAAAAATATTTTTAAAAAATTATATAGATATATACATATATATACACATACGTATATATATACATATATTAATTATACATATATATTTATGTAATATTTTTACATAATTAGGTATCTTAATTAATTACAATTACCAGGACCTGCCTGACAACCCATGCCGAAAGTAAAGGGAATTTAATTTGCTAGCACTATATTTAACCCTATAACTTTCCGAGACACCATAAAACCTGTACATGGGGGGTACTGTTCTACTCGGGAGACGTCACTGAACACAAATATTAGTGTTTCAAAACAGTAAAATGTATTACAACGATGATATCGCCAGTAAAAGTGAAGTTTTTTGCATTTTTCACGCACAAACAGCATTACACGGACAATAGTATTGCTGTGATACTTTTTACTGTTTTGAAACACAAATATTTGTGTTCAGCGAAGTCTCCCGAGTACAACAGTACCCCTCATGTACAGGTTTTATGGTGTTTTCAAAAGTTACAGCATCAAATATAAGGCTTGCGTTTCATTTTTTTCACATTAAAATTCGCCAGATTGGTTACGCTGCCTTTGAGACCCTATGGTAGCTCAAGAATGAAAATTACCCCTATGATGGCATACCATTTGCAATAGTAGACAACCCAAGGTATTGCAAACAGGGTATGTCCAGTCTTTTTAGTAGCCACTTAGTCACAAACACTGGCCAAAATTGGCGTTTTTTGCATTTTTCACACACAAACAAATACTAACGCTAACTTTGGCCAGTGTTTGAGACCAAATGGCTACTAAAAAAGACTGGACATACCCCATTTGCAATACCTTGGGTTGTCTACTATTGCAAATGGTATGCCATTGTGGGTGTAAATTTCATTCCTGGGCTACTATACAGTCTCAAAGGCAACGTAACCAATCTGGCAAATTTCAATTTCAAATGTACGTGCTATATTTGACCCTGTAACTTCCCAAAACGCCATAAAACCTGTACATAGGGGGTACTGTCTTACACGTGAGACTTTACTGAATATAAATATGTGTATTTTATTGCAGTAAAAGCAAACAGTATTATGACACTGACCGTTAAAATGCCATGTAGAACTAAAAAAATCAAAAAAAATCTTATTTTCTCCCATTTTTTTCATATTAAATTATGTTTCACAGCTAAATATTTGATATTAAATGAAAGCCCTGTTTCCCCTGAATAAAATGATATATAATAAGTGTGGGTGCATTTACTATGAAAGAGGTGTATTACGGTTGGACAGACATGTAGCGCAAATGCCAGGTTTTGTTTACATTTTGTTTTGTTCACAATGTGTACATTTGGCTCCGTCCTTAAGGGGTTAAATATAGTCTCCTCCTTTACTGTGTTGATTCCCTTTATATATTTAAATGTTTCTATCATATCCCCCCTGTCTCGCCTTTCCTCCAAGCTATACATGTTAAGATCCTTTAACCTTTCCTGGTAAGTTTTATCCCGCAATCCATGAACCAGTTTAGTAGCCCTTTTCTGAACCCTCTCTAAGGTATCAATATCCTTCTGAAGATACGGTCTCCAGTACTGTGTACAATACTCCAAGTGAGGTCTCACCAGTGTTCTGTACAATGGCATGAGCACTTCCCTCTTTCTACTGCTAATACCTCTCCCTATACAACCAAGCATTCTGCTAGCATTTCCTGCTGCTCTATTACATTGTCTGCCTACCTTTAAGTCATCAGAAATAATCACCCCTAAATCCCTTTAGGTCCCTTTAATTCAAGTGTTAACGACTGCACAACATTTATACATAACATTCTTACTTGTTTGATTCTTTATAATTGTATTTAGCAAAAATTTAGCAATTACTGTAGATATGGAGAAATGTAATAAAGGAGTAGTACTGAAGTACATCTTCCATGTTAATTGTGATTTTAAGTTTATAAATTAAAGGACCACTATTGTCACCCAGACCACTTCAAAGAAACTGCTATGTTAACATTGCAGGGTTAATCCAGCCTCTAGTGGCTGTCTTCCTGACAGCCGCTAGAGGCGCTTCCGCGACGCTCAATGCGAAAAATCACATTGAGCACGCAGAACATCCATAGGAAAGCAGTGAGTAATTGTTTTCCTGGCACTATAGTGGTCCTTTAAGAAAATATAATTAGTTTATTTCTATTTTATTTTTTACAAATAGAGCAAATTGCTCAAGGAATTATGGGATGTAGGGCAAGCACTATTAAGAGGTGCTACCATAAGGTGTCAAAATGTCCGGTTGACTGGCAGGAGGGGAGTGCACAGCTCTCCCCTACTGCCAGTCACTCCATGTAGCGTGGCCACACAGACAGTGGGAGAGGATCTTATTTATCCCAGCTTCAGATCAGACTCGGTAGAGGACACAGAAGATCTTCTACCATGGTCCACAGTGCAACATAACGTGGGGGAGGGGTTGGGGTTTAAAATGTTACTGGGGGGAGAAAAAAAGTGTAGGGCTAGACACAAAGGGACTCTGGGAGTGGGAAATAAAACACAAAGTGGCTGTGGGCTAGAAATGACACGTAAAGGGGAGCTAGGGAGGAGTGACACAAACAAAGATGTTGGGGGTTGAGTTATATTTTTCATTAAAGGAATACTTCTAAGCACCATAACCAAGACACCACTCTAAGTACAATAATCTTTAGTATTTACGTATTAAGGTAACTTGATTGTTCTACAGCCCAGAGTAATCTCAAATTGATATCACAATATTGTCTTAAAGGCACAGTTAAAAGGATAGTCTAAGCACTAAAAACACTACAGTAGTAGTAGTACTAGTACTATTGCAATGATTATGGTACCAGCATACCTCTAGCACTATCCTATGGAGGCAGTCAAACCATTTACTTCTGTTTAACATATCACTACTGACTAGAAGGACAAATCCTGGCAAGTGTCACACCATTTGTAAACACATTTATCTCTCAGCCATTCCTTGTATGTGCAACGCAGAAGTCCTAGGCTCCTGTTCTAGTAGTATAGTTAGCAGATTTGACGCCTGACAGGATAATTCTCTAAAATATTGTCGGGAATTGATAGTGCATTATAAGTGAATTAAGATTTTAATCTGCAGTGGCTGAACTGAAAACATAGCTGACTTGAAGTATGTTTCCAGTTTTTTTCTATAAAATTTGCCTAAACTCTGTCTGAAATTTCTAAATCTTTTTGAATTCTTGACAAGTCACGCTTCAGTAAATTACCTTGACAGTGTGTTTTAACATGCAAAATGTTTTTATTCAAATGTATGCATCTATGCAAAATTGTCTATGTAAAGTGTGTTGTATACATTTCTTTATAAACTTATCTGTCTGACTAAAAAAGTTGTGCATTTATTTCTCAAATAGGTTTTCCATAATCATGGTGTTGTAGTTCCTGTTTTATGCAGTTCGCTTATATTTGCTCTGGAGTTAGTCAAAATGATGAACATGTTGGGAGATCGCACATGCATGGACAGCTTGAGGAAGGACATCACTGACCTGCAGGGTACCCTGGTAGATGTGTTCTCAAGGGTTGGGGCAGTCCGGTACCCTTCGTGGAAATTTCCAGATAAAACATCATGTGACCTGGACCTAGTGCAGTTGTTAGAGACATATGACCATGTTGAAGATGAACATGAGTTCACACAGCTATCACATGTTGTCCTACTTGAGCTGGTCATCGACAGGTATATTTCATATGACAAACATTTTGCTACAAGAATTTAGGTCATGGGTGGAGTAATATTTGACACCTCAGCTGATTACAGACTAGATTACAAGATGTTTAAACAACACTCGGCTAGCTAAGCATCTTGGAAACTGGAGTCCACAACAGAAAGGCAAAGACCCTTCATTAAATATTTGAAGTGAAGCAGCACAAATAATCATAACTGATGGCGTATCATATGCAGGGCTGTCCAACCTGTGGCCCCCCAGGTGTTGCTGAACTACAACTCCCATGATTCCCTGGCTATCTGTTTAATTGAAAGAATCATGGGAGTTGTAGTTCAGCAACATCTGGGGGGCCGCAGGTTGGACAGGCCTGACATAGAGACATGTTCAAACCACAACACCTGGAAGAATTAATTTTGTTACCAGTCAAATACATCTGTATTTCTTAATTCAGGTGTATTAATAATTACTTTAAAACTGTAAAATGCAGGAGAACATAGAAAAATATTTAAATCAGTGCTGAATGACCATTGACACTTGCCATCCCTTGATACTTAACTGGATACTACTCCAGAAGAAGAATAAGGACTGTAAACATATATTAACATATCAGATCTGTGTCAAATGGGTGCATGCATTCTGCAAGCACTATGGAAAAAATAGATTTTACATATTAAATTGTTAGCACCATTTTATCAGGCTGTTGAACAAAGTAATTTTGCTTCTTCTTGTGGTTTGCAGATATATTTTAGCTGAATTGCCACCAGTTCCAACCGTTTGTGCTGCTCCGCTACAAATATGTTTGATGGAGATTCAGTTTCTATGTTTCACTATTGACTTCAAAGCTAACACATACAATGTCAAATCCCCATGGTCTTTTCCATATCCTTTATAAAATTGTAGATAGACATGATGGTGTTACACTGAAGGAAGAACCGTTGGTGCACAACATAATTCAGTATTGCGTTAGTCATTTTTAAAGCGCTCCTAAATTTGCAAAATGAAAGATCACATAGAGGTTGAATTTAATGTTTCACAGGCAAGATTTTCCTCGTTGATGAACTATTCATATCCTAGGTGTATTGAAATATACCGGTAATACTTTTTTTTCATTTGTCCTGTGATAGCATCCTCTTTTCGTATGTCATAAGTGTTTTTATTTTTTTATTATTATTATTATATTTATTTTGTTAGAAGGCATAAATTCATATAGTTTTAGTGATACACTTTCTATAACTAATGCTGGGATATATACAGTTTACATACATGTCATGAAAAAAAGATTTTAAAGAGTAGCAATTACTTCCTTAAAGGGATACTATAGGCACCAAGACCACTTCATCTCAATGACGCTGTCTGGGTGCAATGTCCCCCTTGTTTAAACCCTGCAATGTCAAACATATATTTAGCTAAAGTCAGGAAAAGAGATATCAGGAAAATATATTGACAATCTAAGGTCAAAACAGATACCAAAATAGACAATAAATGAGGAAAATACTAAGGAGAACAACACAGAGACAGTCTCATCCTGCATGACAGATATGGATCAATAATTACAGGAATACTGTACTTTTTTTTTGAATCAGTTTCTAAAGATGGTGCAACTTGATTTTAAATCTAACTTCTAGGTTTTTTATTTTGTTCACCTCTCTTTTTTTCTCTAACAATAAGTTTTTGTCAGGATTATAGTTGATCCAGCACGCAGAATTGTATCACACCTAAAGACTAAGGATACCGCCTAACCGGACCTTAGAATGGCCGGACTTAACGTACCAGAGAATAGTCAGAATACTAGCTGAGGTCAGGGACACAGAATGAGACATAACAATGGGGAAAGCCAAAAGTCAAGGATACCAGAAATCAGGAAAGTCAAAATAAGGGGGTCTGCCTTGACATTGGCAGGCGGGCATTCCCTCCAGTGGCCATGGGAGTAACTAAATGACCTCCATTTATTTAAATATACATAGGGATTTAGGAGAGAGCGCAGGTAACTTTTTCTTTGTTTTTTACCTTGTGTATCAGTCAGAGGCATGTCACAGGCTGGCGTCACATTGCAGCGTATTGGGTACACTCCTACCAACTCTCAGCTTGTCCCCAGAGATTCTCACGCCAGCCGCGATAACCCCGCCTCCTTTTATGATGTGTCTAATAAACGCCGACGTCATGACGCTAAGAACGCCACAGCCCGCCAAGGTTTTCAAACAGTTGGGGGCGTGGTTACCTACCTAATTGAACACTGTATTTAAAGAGAAACCAGGAAGAGACTCATAGCTCTGTTGTGGTTCTTGTTTGACCCAAGAGCGCGTATTTCATATTGGTATTCTTGTATTCTGACTTTGGCTTCGTTTGACTATTCCTCCTTCAGTGTTCCTTTGACCCCGGCTATTGCATTATCATTGATCCTGATTACTGGTACCCCTGACCTCGGCTCGCTATTTGACTATTCTTTGTGTGTGTAGTGTTAGTCCAGCCATCCTAAGGTCTGGTATACATTACTAGTATTTGCATTCTGCGTGTAGGATCCCCGAACGTTCCTGACACCCTTCTTGCCACAGTATAAGCAGAGGCCTTCTTTTCTCCTGAACTATTTCTCTGCCTCTGACAGTCTCAAAACCCCTAACTGCATAGGTTCAGGTTCAGACTGCACAGAAGGGCCAGGGACAACAGGATTGGAGAAGTGACATATTCATACGTCTGGTTCTATTTCTAGTTATCTCCCTGTTCCTAAGTCGGTTATCGATATGCATCACATAAGTGATGTATTCATTTAACCTCACTGCTAGTTCTTTGGCTGCAATCTCATCAAGCTTCGTATAATCCCTCTGCAAATGCGTTATTAGTCCAGTCTACCTCAGAAGCCAGAGTGCGGAATTCTATGGCATAATCTGAGACAGAATGGTTCCCTTGTTTGATACGCATTAGGGCAGTGGAAGCGTTGTTCTCCCTTCCCAATGGTTCAAACATTAATTTGAATTCCACAAGGAATTCCTGGTAATTATGGACAACAGTCCTATTACTCTCCCATAATGGATTGGCCCAAGCTAAGGCTTTACCTTTCAGTTGGTTCATTAAGTACCTAATTTTAGCTCTAGCCGTGGGAAAGACCCAGGTGAGGCTTCAAAATGGTACTCAATCTGAATAAGGAATCCCTGACATTCTTGAGTATTACCTTCAAATGCAGGGGTGGAAATAGGGAGATAGTAGGTGCCTTATACATTATAGGTGTAGGTACAGCAGGCGGGGGTGTACCTGCCGGAGGAACTTCAGGCTGCAAATGATCCATACGTATTAGGAGCGTATTGAAAGCCTGGGCAAATTGATCCATACGGTGATTATTTTCCTCTAGCTTTCTCTCACAAGCTACTATGTGCTGACACAAATCTGCAGGATCTATGGCCATGTCGTAATGTCAGGAGTATAGGTGATCCAGCACGCAGAATTGTATCACACCTAAAGACTAAGGATAACGTCTAAGCGGACCTTAGAATGGCCGGACTGAACGTACCAGAGAATAGTCAGAATACTAGCCGAGGTCAGGGACATAGAATGAGACATAACAATGGGGAAAGCCAAAAGTCAAGGATACCAGAAATCAGGGAAGTCAAAATAAAGCCAAAGTCAGATACCAGAAAAACACGATCAGGAACACACTCTTGGATAACCAGCTAGTGGAAACCACGACAGAGCACTGACCAAAAGGTAATTTGGGTTTAAATAACCTGTAATTGGCTGTCTCTGCTCTCTGACCCCAAAATGTGCGTGGACGTCAATGACAGGACATCACACGCATGTTGGTGCCATCTTTGATGTGGGCGAAGATGAGTTTCCTATTAAAACCGGAACCGCAGCAGCCGGTGTCTCTAGGAACGTTGTACTTGCTGGGGACCGTAACGGAAGGAGGACGGGTATCGGTTTGCCGCAACCAAGGTAAGTATACAAAATCTCTGTTGGCGTGGCTGCTTAGTTTATGTGCGGCCACGCCAGCAGAAGACCGGGGAGCCGTGACGGTTTTGTCTGAATATGTGAGCATTCTGTGGTAATAATAAGCAATAATGCAGTTGCATAGACAGCCAAAAAAAGCTTTTTCATGGTACTATATGCTTATGATTTTTTTTTTTAATTATTATTGTAATTGATTTAGTGTATTTATTTTTGAAATTGTTTGTTTTTCTTTTGTTTTTTTATTCTTTAAATATAATTGACATCATCATTAAAAACTAATTGAATAGAGAAAAAATACTGACTTAATTGATCCACAGGTTGCTGCTCCTTCTTCAGAGTTTCAGCACATACACAGATCTAATAAGCAGTGAGAAAGACCTCCCCCCTGCACGCAGCCAGGGATCTTCTATGTCCATTGGCCTGGCAGTCCGCAAGTCCTGGACCAGCATGCTAAAACTGGGATCTGTTTACCAACAATCAGTGAGTGAAATATTGAGAGACCTCTGCAGTGATAATCTGCTATTAAACATTACATATATATATATTTATGTGTGAATACACTCAAATAAATGAATTTTCTGGGCAGTCTCTGTTATTGTAGTGCAGCCTTGCAGAGATTTTTAGACCCTTGACAAATCCTCTCATTTTACTCAAAACATACTTTTGTTCGTGGGATACTTAGCTGAAAACATTTAAAATCAGAAATAATTATTTTAAGGTGACAGTGGTTTTCTAAAATATGCTGTTTGTAAGAATGTTCCTGCGCTGGAATTTCCACATTTACCTAATGCTTCTGCCTGTGAGACATTAACGTAACAAGCATTTAAAAAAAAATTTTTTTAAAGTAAAGTCCAACCATATATAATGAACATCGGTTTAGGTTACAAATCTGAAGGAAAACTGTGACAGTGAAGAAGAAACAGCATTCTACCGCAGTAAGAGATAAAGCACTCAAACTACATCAGTTTTAAAAAGGACACAAAGTGTTTGAAAATCCCTGTGAACACTGTTTGGATAATTAACTGGAACTCATCATGGCTACATATCACCACCCAGATACTGCCTAGAAAATATAATCTTCAAAAAGCACACTGCTCATCAGCAAGGCTTGGGAATCTCATGAGAATTGGTGGAGCAAAATACAGAGCAATACTGCAGGAGAACCTTTTACAGTCTGTTGAAAAGCGTCAACTTTAAATATATTTTAAAGGGGAGCTGTCAACAAATTTTTACTTCTCCTTTTTATTTTAAAGTTTATTACATTTAATGATATTATAGATTTTTTTTAAAATGATTTCTATTAATTGTTTTGATAACATTTCACTTTTTATCTGACTGAGCAGCTTTGTTGGATCAGACTAAACTGTTTTCTGACCAACTGCTGCTCAACCTAAATTGCCTGCTGCTATAATTGCTGTGTGTGGAACGGTTGCAATATCATCGTTTCATGTTAACATTTCAAAATGTAATAAACTTTTTAAAAAGGAGAAGTTAAAACTCGATGAGTTTTCCTTTTTTTATATTGGATTTTGTTAACATGTAAAACAAAAGCCATAAGCTTACCTGTAATCCAGCTCCGACACATTCTCTTCTCTGCAGACGATCCTCCCCACTGTGAAAGCATCAATAATTATGATCTCTGGTCCAATCCAATACTTATTATAGAGAAGCATTGTGGATCTACTGTTTATAAGTGGTAAGCAATAGACTCAGCCAATCCAATGCTTTTCTTTTAGAAGCATTGTATACAACGCTTCTCTATGAGATGCCTTAGTCACATTTGGCATCATGCTATTCATGTTTATGCCAAATGTGAACACATTTTACGATCAAAGGTCTTAAAGGACCACTCTAGGCACCCAGACCACTTCAGCTTAATGAAGTGGTCTGGGTGCCAGGTCCTTCTAGGGTTAACCCATTTTTTCATAATTATAGCAGTTTCAGAGAAACTGCTATAATTATGAATGGGTTAAGCCTTCCCCCTAATCCTGGTCTCATTGACAGCCACTAGAGGCGCTTGCGTGCTTCTCACTGTGATTTTCACAGAGAGCACGCCAGCGTCCATAGGAAAGCATTGTAAATGCTTTATGACTGAATGCGCGCTGCCTGCGCGCGGCATTCAGCGGGCGGGCGGCGCGGGAGAGAGGAGAGCTCAGCGCTGGAAAAAGGTAAGTTATTACCCCTTTCCCCCTTCCAGAGCCGGGCGGGAGGGGGACCCTGAGGGTGGGGGCACCCTCAGGGCACGATAGTGCCAGGAAAACGAGTATGTTTTCCTGGCACTATAGTGGTCCTTTAAGGAGGAATCACCTCTAGTGGCTGCTTGACAACCCCTATATGTGTGTTTTTGGCCAAATGTAAAATGGCAATGTTTTACATTTTAAAAGAAAAAGGTTGTTACCCCTGCACGAAAATCATTACATTAACAAGGTTATTCACTAAACTCTGAATTGTCGCAAACTACATCTGAATGGAAAAACTGAGGTAAAGAAAAATAGCTGATCTAGAAACATTTTCCAGCTCAGACAAAGTAACAATTTGGCTATTTTTGTCTTAATGTTTCCTTTTAAATTTAATCTGGGAACATTTGGAATTTAGGGAATAACTGCAAACTGTAGTGATTTTGGTGCTTCAACTATCCTTTGAAGCTTGAGAAAAAAGTTCACCAATGTGCAGGAAAATGATCTCTAAAGGCAAAAACAACTTTGGAATTGCTGAAGAGCAAAAACATGAATATCCAACTGCGGCCCAATCAATGGCTTTGGAGAATCTGTTGAACTATTTGAAAATTGCAGTCCACATGTGCCACCCAACCAACAGGAACCACATGGAGAAAGAAAAGTGGGCAAAAGACAGGCACGAGTTCAGTTTTTCTTTAACTATCAAATTAGAAATAACTAATTTTAACTTTATAATATACTCTTAGAACAGAGGAATTTGCAATGAATATATTGTTTGGGCATTTGTAAGAGTAAATGATTTTTAATTCAGAAAACTGTGATCATTTTCAATTGTTCGAAATCCTTTTGTATTGTTTTTGCACTGTATTTACTTAAACCTTAATTATTTTTCATCACAACTTTCTAAAAATTCATCAATAACTGCAGCAAACAAAATACTTTGTACCATTCACATACTAATTCCAGAGGCATTGTTGAATAATTCAAGATTTTCTTCCTGTGCCAATTTTGCTTGTTACTACAGTAAGGTTACAAGCTGAGGCATCGGGCATGTCTGCCTTACTCGAAGTTAAGCCACATCACAGTTGAAGCTTACTGCTTCATGAGTGCTGTTGCTTATCACCAAAGAGGAACCCCAATTATAAATTGAAGCATGACATCACTGTCAGTACACACATGCTCACAGCTAGCTTTCTCTTTATTGTAACTTATAGCCACATCACCAATATGCTTTTTTTTATTTAACATTTATTAAAGATCACCTTGAGTTTCCCTCTTGTATATGACTTATTTGTGGTTTTAGAGCATAATTGGGAGACTGGTGGTTGTTGTTTGGGTGGCACTCTTTGTGTAGTGTATTCATTCACCCTGTCATCTCCGTGGAGATAGTAATACCATGACATGGGGATACTCCCAATCCCAATTGCTCAACATTGGTGGAGGAAGTTTCATACCAAGAGCTCAAACAGATGATCCTTCCATTGCACGATAATCTGCAAGCTTTTACCCCACTGACCTCTCCCTTGCTAATCAGTTTTTCCTCCGTTATTAGCAATTGCTCTCACAATATTAAGCATCTCATCGATAACATCTCCTTACTTTGCCTTGCCTTAACCCCTCCTTATACTAACCCCAAGAGCTAACAGTTTTTCAAACTATTTTACTGACAGCATTGTTCATTTAAGGAACAATTCTCCTCACTTCATTCCTCACACTCTAAACCGTGGAAGAAATTACTCTGGGAGTGTACGAGGCTGTAAAAGTTGTGGTGCTTGGAGTGTTCCTTTAGTGTGTTCTATGCTTGCCTATGGAGAGTTTCGAAACGCTGGATGTTCTCATGCAAAGCATAAAGACATCCAGCATCATTTCAGCATCATTAAACTATGTAAAAAGCAAGGAATCACCTTTAGTGGCTGTCTAAGAGAAAGCTGCTACAGTCAGTCTCTCTGAAATTGCAATGTTTTACATCGCAGGGTTAAGGAGACAGGAACATTGCAGCCAGACCATTTCAATGAGTTTTCCTTTAACATGCTCTCTTTCTTCTGGTGTCCTGCCCATGTCCCTTAAACATGCAACTGTCACTCCTATCCTACAAAAAGCCATTTCTCAACTCAGCTGCTCCATCTAACTGCTCCTCACTCCCTTTTGTAATGTCACATACCAGGTCTTACGCTATTGTAGACTCTCCCCTAGAATTCAATACTTTGAAGAGACCCTTGAAATCCACCTCTGAAGACAAGCCTATAGCCTTCCTGGGAAATTCCCATTATTCAAAGCTGTATACGCCCTCTCTTTTAACATAGGCTCTATGTCTACTCTACTATCCTACCTTCCAAATCTACTGTTTTCCTCTCACTCACCTGTTAACCATGTTTACTGCATAGCTGTGCCTCTTGTCTTTCTACCTGATCTCCTCTAGATTTTAAACTCCTTTGAGCATTTGTGTGGTCAGATCAATAAACAGCACTTTCATTGAGCTTCCTGGTAAAATTTAATTGATATCATCCGAGTGCAGGTTTTCTTCTTTTCTTTTTTTTGCTGTTGAATTTCTACATTACAATTGTAAAGCCCCACGGAACTTGTTAGTACTTTATAAATGGTAACAATAATAATATATACATTTATTTGTTTATTAATTTGTAGAAGTCTGATAAGAAAATAACTACATCAAAAGAAAATGAGACATCAAAGGAAACATCTAGACGCGTGTCTTCATCCAGATGCCAATCTACCCCCACTTCTCAAAACAGAACTGAGACCCCCGCTTTGAGAGGATCCCAAAACTGCATTGCTTGGGATACTCGCACAATAGGCTGCCAGACCATGGAGTCTTCCCTAGTGCCATGCGATGCATGTGACATAGCTCAAAGCAGTCTACGAGAAGTCAGTGATGCCATAATTAACGTATGCAAAGATCAGAACCTGCCCTGTTCCCTCTCCAGAATTAAAGAAAGATTCAACCCAATGGGTATTCTGTCACCTAATGAGATGCGTTACTGGGCAAGTGAAGAAAGTAAGGACATGGCACGTATAAGCAAACACCTGTCTGAGCTCAAACAGGTGATCCTTCCATTGCAGGATCAGCTGCAAGCTGCCAGTGTAGAAAAAGATAAGCTGCAGCAAAATATAGAGAGTGAAAAGAAGCAGATACAAGCCCACCGAGAGGACATGCAGAGACAGCTAAAAGAGAATGAGAGGCATATGCAGGAAAAAGAGCACAAGCGCAAGGAAGACATCAATAAAATGGAGAGGGATAAGGAAGAGCTAAGGAAAGGTACATGACTGATATAAATAAAAACTAGTATATGAGGGGTCGTGGGTACATTTACAGATTAACCATAGTAAACATTTATGCATTCAATGCAGGAGCTGCAGTTCTTGAAGAGAGAGTTTCCATTCTTAAAGAAGAGCTGAAATCCCAGCACAGCATTATCCGAGACCTGGGTGAGTACTGATAGTAATGGAAATGTAACTGTAAAAGAGAATTAGTCTTTATTCATTTTAAAAGGACATGTGAGCATCCAGTCCTTTGATATGACGGAACATATGAAGGTAGCAAGAAACATTAGTAGTGCAGTTATTAGAATTCCACCACAAATGTGGTATATAAGTAGTTTGGAACAGCTTTGATCCTTGGCTTAAAGCCTTCATCAGATTCCATAGTGAATACCTGGGTGTTTGCATTTGAAAGTCCTGTGATTATTTAAAACTGTGCTCAAGAGTCTGTAAATGAGAGACAAGAGACAACATTGTGCTTCTGTGTTAAAGGGACTTATGTTGTTATATGTGTATTAGAATTGGCAAAAGAGCAACTTGTGTGTGAGATGCAGAGCATGGTGAATAAAGAGAAAGTGACAGAGCTGGAGCAGAAAGTGAACGAATTGAGAAGTCATCTTGATACAACAATGCAGCTCCTAAAAGATTCAGAGGAGCATGTGTCCAAAGAGAGAGCTCGCGTAGAAAGTCTAGAAAACCATAAAGAGGTGAGTGGGTCATTTGTATTTACAGTTGTGTTTGAAGAAATATGTACATAAATTCTGCAATCTCAGGAAGTGTGCATGTCTCCAAGGTCACTAATCTGTTGGCCTCTCCTATTAACCAAGCCTTGTGCTAGGCTGTAAGTATTTGTCAAGTTGATTTTAGCAAATTTATTGAACACAGGAAAAAAAAAAAGTGTTAAAAAGGTATAGTCAGTGTGTATGGTGCAAGCAAATACTCCCATTTACAAGTACTATTATTTTGCTGCAACTAGTCTCTGCAGGTGAAGCAGAAATCACTACTACAGCAGCTAGACCGATTAGCCCAACAATGCGAAGACTTGCAGGGCAGCCTGGGAGATGCGGAGGAGGAGAAAACAAGCTTGGAGGAGCAAATGGAAAAACTGGAGAATGAGAAGGAAAACCTAAAATGCCAACTTGAAGAGAAGCAGGTATAAGTTATTTCTTGTACTGGTTGGTTCAGTATGTTGGGAATAATACCATCTGATCACATCTCATGCATAACATTAATAATACTAAAAGCCTTAGCTCACTTTGTGAAGGAAGTGTTCTAAAGTACACCCTCGCTGTAATAACTAACTAGAGCAACACTCTAGGCCTTTTTTTTTGGTTTCTTAATAGTTTCATTCCGCAAAGGCCACAACTTGATTTGAAAATGTTTTTTCAGATGCCTAGGCATGAGTTTGGTCACTTGAGTTTGGAAGTGCTATAATAAAGAACAGGTCCACCGACCATGCAGATATTTACCTATTTAGTCATTTTTTTCTTTATAAATTGGTGGGAATGGATAACGTTGAGGGTAGCCCAGAAGGAACATGGCATGCTTTATAGAATTGATTATAGTATTACACATTTCTGCCTTTTTTTGACATAGAAACAAAGAATGTGACGGCAGATAAGAACCATTCGGCTCATCAAGTCTGCCCAATTTTCTAAATACTTTCATTAGGTCCCTGACCTTATCTTATAGTTAGGATAGCCTTATGCCTATCCCACGCATGCTTAAACTCCTTCACTGTGTTAACCTCTACCACTTCAGCTGGAAGGCTATTCCATGCATCCACTACCCTCTCAGTAAAGTAATACTTCCTGATATTATTTTTAAGATGTGGCAATTCAGATAATATCTTAGCTTTTCTGTACTCTTTCTTGTTTAGGAGGTAGTGAAACAGCTCCAGCAACAGAAACAGAAACTGGAGAAGTCCATTTCTGGCACGGAGAGCAAACTGAGAGAACTGGAAGTTGATCTCCAAGAGCAAAGAGAAAAGGCCAGATTACTGGTATCTTATCCAGACTTAAACACCCCCCCAGTGTTTGAAAGTAAGTAGAGCAGTAGAATATGTAGTTTTTAATATTTTGGCCTTCATGTATACCTCTTTAGGCCTGAAAACCTCTTCAGATCTGTCTACAGCCAATGCTTCTAAAAATGATGGCGTATTTAATTGCATGAGGATCTCAATATAGCCAATATGGCCGTTTCATTGTACTAGTATTAGCAGCTCTAGGTACCATAAAAAAGACAACAATAAGGGTATCTCTTATATCTCTGTCTGTCATATGTGTCTATTTGTTATACCAGTTTTTTTTGTTAGGCTTTTTGCTATTTTGTGGGGGTTTTTACTGTGGATAAAATCAGTGTTTCTGAATTATTTTAGTTGCAATGCATTTATTACTGAACCCATTTTGGAACTTTTGGCATGTTTGTTGTTCTTTCTTGATTTCAAAAGGACAACCCACTGTAATCTGTCAAACCATTATAGCACAGTTTGACAATTGCCTGAGTACCGCTAGGCATCTGTCCTGCTTCCAGTCTACTTGAGCTTTTGAAGCCAGATGTCAATTTTGTGCAAGACTGAAACTCACTAATTGACTGAAAGATCTCTGGGCCAATGAGTTTCTATCGTAAATCAAACTTGACGGGTTAAGTGACTTTCTTTAAATGTGTCACCTTTTATTTAAGTTGTATGGTATGCTTCCCCATGACTCTCTGTGGCTCATTTTTACTTTTTTTGTTCAAAACAAATTTAGTTTAATTAAGTATTTTCTGTTTCTGTATGTGTGGCCCTAGCCACACCTCCCCTGGCTGTGACTGACACAGATTGTATGAAAAACAAAATGGTTTCATTTTCAATCAGATGTAACTTACTTTAAAGGTTTTTATTTCCTGCGCTGTAAATTGAACTTTAATTACATATAGGATACATCTGCATGATTTATCAAGCTATTAACAGAGCAGGAGATAAGAAATTTTAAATTAAACAGAATTTGTAATAAGGGAAGTGTAAACATTAGATGACTCTTCACAGGAAGTTTAGGAAGGCTGGACTAAGGCTGCATAAACAAAGCAATTTAACTCCTAAATGGCAGAGAATTTAGCAGTAAGACTACAGGGACATGATCTATACACCAAAACTGCCTCACTAAGCAAAAGTTGTTTTGGTGACTATAGTGTCACATTAAGCCTAAGTCATATATTTATTTTTTTTAAAGCTGTGGACAAATTGACCCATACATCATTAATATCAGTGTCTTATTTGGGAAGTGGAGTGTTTTTGGGGTTTTAATATCTAGCTGCCCATATGGCAAAAATTCAACTGTCATAAAACAGAGCTCAACTGCATCCTAATGTAAGGTGAATGAAGGAGAGTTAAGGAAAAAGACATGTAATTGAATGTGTAGAAGTGCCAAAGAATTTGCCATGGGAAAAATAAACTGACAATAGTTACTTGTTCCTATTATCAGTCTTTCTATCCAAAAAAGTGAAATAATCTGTTTTTGAGATTTAAATTGAATAGTATAACTGCGATGTTCTTTTCAAACACAGATTAAAGAAATAAGAGACTAAATAACTCTCAAATATTAAAGCAATCTTGATTTAGTCTTAGTGTTTCATTCTATGTCATTTTAATGCTAAATTAATACTTTAAACTTGGCAATTTCACTAAACTGGGTTAGGAAACCCTAATAATAACAACAACAACTATTATTTATAGTTCTGTTTATTGTCGGGTGAATAAAAATATGTTACAATTGGAAGAATTTGTACCTTAAAGACTATTGTTGAAGCTTTGTTGTTCACTTTTCATACCTATGTGAAACATCATTCCCACTCTCTGCAGGCACTGGTGATATAGCAGAAGATATGGATAAACAGCTCCAAGCCAATAGTATCCGCATCAACATTTTAGAGGAGGAGAATTCTAGACTAAGAGCCAATCTGTCCAAACTTAAAGAAAAGGATCAGCTGGGCCAGCTTAGGGTGAGCTTTGATCTCCAACGCTATTACCACTAACAGGCAACACCATTCATCCGCACACACAGAAAACATTGACACCCAAAGAATTTAAAGAAGTATAATGCCTTCTATTATATCAGTAAAAGTGATATTAGTAATATACTTAACAAATTTTGATTGTGTTTTAGAAATAAGAACGAAAAAAATTAAAATAGACAGATCGACCAAATAAAACAAGGCTCTAGACGGAACATAATATGGTGTTTAACAAAGATGTGGTTATGGTGCTTGTGGACGACCGATATCATGCTTTCACTTTTAACATGTTTTCACAAAGTTCCAATGTAGAGCATATTCTGGAAGACAAATTAAAAGCAATGAAATAAATATACGATTGTGTCTATTAGATTGATCAGCCAAATACTTTGAATAATAAGACTAATATGACTTTCTTCCCTTCGTCTCTCCAGCTGGTTCCCCAAACTCAGCTCTGGAACACCCCTCAAACCCCAGAACCAGTGAGCCCAGAATCTCAGCATTTACAAAGCAGCACAAAGTGAGTTTTCTTCACTGCTATTCATTATATTATTATGTCTTCATATATTTCTACATAGTAGTTCTGCACTATATTATTATGTCTTCATATATTTCTACATAGTAGTTCTGCACTATATTATTATGTCTTCATATATTTCTACATAGTAGTTCTGCACTCATTTTGTCTCTTTGCAGCTATTCGTCTTCCTGTGACTATGTGAGCATATCCACATTTAAAATATTTGCCTTACTGGGCAGTAGTTGAGTGTGATTCTGACTCTTCACAAGTTATGGAAAATGTTTAAATTTTGTCTCCATATGCTTATTACAAAACTGGTAGCAAATATATGAATACAATAATATATATACACCTACAATGTACTTGTGTACTACTGGTTCATTCTATAGATTGGTTAGTATTTGGTAAGGATACAATACAGGTTAACCTACAGCCGTGCATGCTTTTTTACTGCTGTGAGATTTTGTTTGCACTATTTTGTTGATTTAGGTGGATGAGTGGTTACTGTATGGAATTTTAACCAGTGATGATGTAATTAAACCTTTTTCTGTCTGCTATTTAACAGTGTTTGTCGAATCTGACATTTTAAGTATCCTACCATAACTTTTTAATTTGCTGCAACTGAATGCTAATTTAGATGTGCTATGCTTGTTTTGTGAGTAAGATACCTTGTGCTAACACACATGACTATTAATGCTTGTAGAATGTTGTTGGATTCTTAAAAATACAAAAGAGCAGTCTATTTTAGCTAGGGCTGCAATATGTTTGCTTACGTAGGAACAGAGTATTTGAGAAGCGATAAGAACCAGTAGGCTGATATAATTTGCTCGATGTCAAATATCATGCTTCATTTTATTTATACTTAAAGGAATACTACAGAGTCAGGAATACAAACATGTATTCCTGACATTATAATGCTAGAGTGCAGCATTAGGTTCCTCGCCCCCTCTCGCCGGTGATTTTACTCATGCCCATGCCGGACCTGTCTTGCTGTGGCTGGCCCTGTCTCTGTGGCTGAGATCATCAATTTTGAGGATCTCAGCCAATCCGCCTGTCCTCATAGAGATGCATTAAATCAATGCATCTCTATGGAAAATGTTCAGCGCCTCCATGCAGAGCATGGAGACACTGAATGTTAGTGCTGTACACTGTGTGGTACTGATCCTGGAAGCACCTCTAGCGGCCATTTGAGTGACTGCAACTGGAATTGTAACTAGGCAGTAGGGATGCACCGAAATTAAAATTCTGGGCCGAAACTGAAAATTCAGGATGCCCTTGGCCAAAAACAGAAACCGAAAATTACTTTTTTTCCCCAAGTGATTTAAAAAAAAGTTTCCTATAATTTTATTAATTTTATACTTTTTAATGAATTTAAATAATCTAATATGAAAAACGTCACTTCTCCCTTCTCTTTTAGTGGTCCCCCCCCTTAATGTCCCTCTCTCCCCCCTCTAGTGTTCCTCTCCCCTACCTCTTTTTTTAGTGTTCTTTTCCCCCCCCTTCCCCTGTCCCATAGTGTTCTTTTCTCCCCTCTTCCCCTGTCCCACAGTGTTCTTCCCCCTCCCTGTCCCGCAGTGTTCTCCCAGATCCCGCAGGTGTTCTTCCCCAGATCCGTAATCGAATTTCTCCCCTCCTGTCCCATGGTATTCTCAGCCCTCCGTCCCATAGTATTCTCCACTTCCCCTCCCCTGTCCCATAGTATTCTCCCTCTCTCCCCTGTCCCATGGTGTTCTTTCCTTCCCTGTCCCATAGTATTCTTTCCTTCCCCCTCCCTCCCGCCCCTGTCCCATAGTGTTCTTTCCTTCCCCCTCCCTCCTTCCCTCCCCTGTCCCATGGTGTTCTTTCCTTCCCCCTCCCTCTCTCCCTCCCCTGTCCCATGGTGTTCTTTCCTTCCCCCTCCCTACCCTGTCCCATAGTGTTCTTTTCTCCCCCCCCTCCCCTCCACTGTCCCATAGTGTTCTTTTCTCCCCCCCCACCGTCCCAAGTGCAGTATTCTTGACTTTTCATGTTGTTATTATTACTATCTTTCATTGTGATATATAATCATCTGAATTGTTAATGCAAGCATGTCTGCTAAACTATGCACTACAAACTTTTTTTTTTTTTTAATTCCCCCCGGCAATTTTGACCCCGGATAGGCCCATATTCGTCCGAAAATTTCGGTGCATCTCGACTATGCAGCAATGTAAACACTGTCTTTTCTCTTAAGAGGCAAAGCTTACAGTGCAAAGGCTACTGGGGCATGCTTTAGTCACAAGAAAAACTACATTAAGCTGTAGTGGTTCTGGATACTTTAGTGTCCATTTAAGGATTGTATTATGTGAATTTCAAACTTTGCTAAATTCTTTAACTATATGAACCTTTGAGTCTTATCTACTTCCACCAAAAGGCTACTACACCTGGTATCTGAAGTTCCTACCCTCTGGTTTATTACTTTTTTAAATTAATGTTATTACTATCTATTCCTTCTTAAAGGACCACTAAAGTGCCAAGAAAACATATTAGTTTTCCTGGCAGTATAGTGCCCTGAGGATGCCCCCACCCTCAGGGTCCCCCTCCCGCCGGGCTGGATGGCGAGGAAAGGGGTTAAACTTACCTTTTCTCCAGCGCCGGGAGCTCTCCTCCTCCTCTCCGCCTCTTCGGCTGAATGCGCATGTGCGGCAGGAGCTGCGCGCGCATTCAGCCAGTCTCATAGGAAAGCATTTACAATGCTTTCATATGGACGCTGGCGTCTTCTCACTGTGATTTTCAATGAGACAGCCACTAGAGGCTTTAGAGGCTGGATTAACCCATTTATAAACATAGCAGTTTCTCTGAAACTGCTATGTTTATAAAAAAAAAGGGTTAATCCTAGAGGGACCTGGCACTCAGACCACTTCATTAAGTTGAAGTGGTCTGGGTGCCTAGAGTGGTCCTTTAATCAGATGCCAGTATATTCACATAAGTGTGCATTATTTCTAAATAAATAAATAAATAATCTGGTGCTTTTTCTAATATTTCTAAATCATTTTCATGCAAATTTGCTGTCATGCAGGTCAACCACTCCCCAAATGATCTCAGTGGCCTTAGACCGAAACACATCCCATCCCACTTCTAATGGTCATAAGAGGAAAGAGTCTCCTGGAAGTGCAAACCAGGCACTAAGCTTTGTGACATTCCCATCTGAGATGTCTCCCATCGCAGCTTATGGTCGTGTGAAGCAAGTTAAGGGGAGAAATCGGACTTTTAGTTCAGACCGCAAATAACTAGCGAGCTGTAAATCGAATAACAATTTATTTATTTTGTAATAAGATTCAATCCCACATGCCATCCATACTGTCTGCTGCTTATTTACTGCATTAATCTATAGTGTATGTAGGCAATAGATTCCAAAGTTTATTGATTAGTTTAGTCTCTGCAGAAGATCATCATTCAAATTCCAGAGAGTAATGACAAGGGATGGACTAGTGTTACTTAGACTTAGAAGAAAACTAGCAATTTAATTGTTGAAAAGTAAACAAAACATTTTTTTATTTCTTTATGACCTGTAATAATACAGATACATTATTTATCCAGGCTATTAAACAGTTGAATGGATGTATGTTTGCACTTAGCATTATTAATATTTATACTCCATATTCATACTCCAAGTACCAGCATGTCTTCCTTTTTTTCTTTCTGTCTTTCAGTTTTTTATTGTTTATCTCTTCCTCCAGATGTATCCCGTTCTCTCTCACTACTACTAAAATCTGCAATAAAGTTTTGAATTTCCAACACAGTCATATATAATTTAATGATGGTTTACTATGTACATGTACCAAATAAAGTGGCCTCTGAGTTCATACCTGCTTACACACACATATAGGATTAGCATTGGGTGTAAACCCAATGAATTCTTGAATCTATCTTTGTATCTATAATAAAGGCTAGGCGTGATAATGTAATGATGTTAGGAATGTACAGAGACGGACAACAAAGAATCTCCAAGATGATTATTCAAGTATAGATTTGAAAGGAAAACAACAGACAGAATGAGGAAATGTTTTGTTTTTGTTTCTTTACACCCACTGACCAAGTCTTAATTAAAAATGATCAAATATCACAATGTTGGCATAGTATAGTTGGAAAAATAAAATAAAGTACTCACATAATGCACTAATGACCAACTAATAATGGAGAGAGAACTACAGCTACTACATCAGTGTAAGGTTCCTATGATGACAAGCAAGACTTTTCCGTTTATTACCATCCCTTTAAATACAGTTCCTGGTTTTCACCTCTAGTGGCCTCCCTAGCCACTAGTCACCTCAGACTCACCTGTATCATATTATTTTTATTATTTTATTTTTTATATAGCCCCACTAGATTCCATATATGAAACAAAGTTCTGCTATAGATGTCCACACCGAACAAAGCAAGAGGCCTTTTTGTAAATATGATTTTTATTTGTAGTAACAGCGATTAGCAACAACATTGGGACTTGCAGGTCCCCTTCAGCATGTAAGATACTGTAATATTTGCACAACAGGTGCAGGAATAAAGTTTAGCAAAAGTGAGTAAGCATTTGGGCCTGCCGGCCCGCATATTTGTCGAACACGCAGGATTCTTCAAGCATTTAAGAGTTCTTTATGTACATTCGGTAAGTGTATCCTTTGTCAGGAGTGAGCAACCTTGAGGCTCGTATGTCTCCTGAATCATGGTATTCCCCATACCACTTCTACCACTTGTGCGGTATTAGATTTCAGCAAGTGTGAGCAATCATTTGGGCTCGCAGGCCCACACAGTTGTTGGACACGCAGGTCCCTTGTGTTATTTATTAACTGCTATGAGAGCATAATTCCCTAATGTTGTGTGTGTGTCAGTGTCCGCCAGTAGTGTGAGCGTTCCGACCCATATTTGTTATTCTTCAGGGGGCCGGAAACCTCGTGTATTTTCACCGACTTTTTATGTGGTTACACAGTAGTTAGTATAACAGCCTTTTCTGTTCTAGTGTTACTGTTGCTTGTTAGCACGATTCTTATTAATATCTTGTAATGTGTGTGAGTTGTTGTGTGAGGTTGTTGTCCGCTGCGCCCATGTTTTACCCTAGAGTCGATCTTTCGTCTGTGTCCGGGGGGGAAACCTGACTCATCCAATGTGTAGTGTGCAATTTTTTTATTTTTTTCCAATTCTTTATTTAACTTTTAGCATTGACATGACATGCAGACGCACATAGGGAACAATCACTTCGGTGACATACAGCACTTTTATACACTATGTAAAAACCCGATATACCATCGTGTGTATATCACATATCCTCCCCTATATTCCACTGTGCCTTGCGCCGAGTCTTCGTATTGAATGTGCGTCCATCTGGCTCGTAATCAGTCACTGCCCATGTCAATGCCAGTTTTCTTAGTTAAAAAGAACTCAAAACGAAAAGACTAGGTTTATCTCCATCCCCCTTATATTGATCTATTTCGCTCCCCTCAGTCCACTGGTCCTCTATCCCCATCTTTCCCTCCCGTCGACTTTCCCCAGTGGGACAGCTCTTCATTAGACTAAGCCCCATTAGTGGTCCCTCCCGTATGTCTACAGCAACCCCTCATTTGGTGTTTTAGTCTTCTCTCCTTCTACCTGACTATCGATATTGCGTTCTATATAATTTAACAGTGTCCCTCTTGGAGGGTCAACGGGGGTACATCAATTCCTCTTTCCTAACCAGCGAGTCCCGTGGACATAAAGCGACAAGGCAATTGTTGCGGTGGAGACAGAAGGAGAGAAAAGTGGGGTGGAAAGTAGGTAGGGAAGGGCCACACTCCCCTCCTCACTCTACACTCCTAAGGGGGAACTCTCCCATGGCTCCCAGATTCTCTGAAAGGCCTGGCGGTTAAATCGTCCATGAGGTGCACTTCCTTGATTCTAGTAAGAACTCCTTGTATCGTGGGAGCCGTCTGTTTTAGCCAATTCGCCGCTATGGCTCTCCTTGCTGCTAATGTGATTTTATGGAGGAGTTTCTGCTCCCTCCGGGTCCACCCCTCTATTGACCTACTTAGTAAGTAGACCCACGGGTCTAACTCTGGGGCTCTGGAAAAGACTTGGGTTATCACGTCTCTGACTTGTGTCCAGAATTTGTTTACCACTGGACAGTTCCACCACATATGCCTATATGTTCCTTTGGCACCACATCCCCTCCAGCACAAGTCCGTGGGAGTCTTCCTCATGCAGTATAACTGTACAGGGGTAGTGTACCATCGGAGCGTTGTTTTTACCGACTGCTCTTGCATTGTGACACATACCGAAGAGGTATGATTGGCCTCCCATATTTATTGCCATTCCACTCCCTCAATTTCTTCCCCTAGATCTCTTTCCTATTGCGTTATATATGTGAGACTTCCCCATTCCCTAGTCTCTAGGCAAATATGTTTATATAGGAGTGTTATCAGTCCCTTGGGCGTACGTTCCTGGACGCATATACGTTCAAAGAACGTCATTGTCTTTTGTGCCGCTGCTTGTATGTGCGGTTGCTTTGCGTAATCTTTGACTTGTAGGTAGCAGAAAAAGTCCGCTGGGGTAAGGTGGCCTAGCTGTCGTAGTGTATCGAACGAGATGAAATCTGTACCCTGGAATAGCTGACAAATACGTTGGAGCCCTACCCTCTCTAAATTCCGGTAATCCCTAGCTGCCATGCCCGGAGGAAATTCTCTATTACGTAAGTATGACATAAGGGGGGAGGGGGCTGAGGCTATGCCATATTTATGCGCCGCGGTGTCCTGATAGAATTAAGAATGGCCAGGCACGTGACTCTGATCTGGGGTCTATGTGCCTTGGGCACCCATGTAAGAAGCTGTGGGAGGTCTGCCCCCACCATGAGGGATTCCAAATCCACCCATTTCCTATCCCCCGGGGGTGAGTGCCACATTGCTACCTGTGCTAATTGACTTGCTAAATAATAGAAATACATACTAGGGAGGCTCAAACCCCTCTATCTTTCGGCTTATACAAAATGTATCTCGAGATCCTGTGACGTTTAGAGTTCCCTATTGCTCGTTCCAGCGGTTGTAATTGCATTTTCGAAACGTGGATGGGTAGGGTTTGAAATAGAAAAAGAATCCTCGGCAGTATATTCATTTTTACCGCGTGGATTCGACCTATCCAAGAAATAAGTCTGTCCGACCAAGTCTCCAGCTCTTTAATTAGCTTTTTAATTAGTGGTGGGTAATTTTGGCTATATAGCTGTGCTGGATGTGCCGTTAGGCATATCCCTAAATATTTAAGCGATTGGTGCACCACAGCTAAGCCGTATGTACTGCGTATGGAAGCCACATCTTTCCTAGGGATATTAATCGGCAGGGCACTGGATTTAACCATATTGGCCCTATATCCAGCTATCTGTCCGTACTCTTGCAGTACATCTTGGAGGGCCCTCATTGAGCTCAAGGGGCTGGTGACCGTCAAGAGCACGTCATCCGCATAGGCCGATACTAGAAACTTCCTCCCTCCCGCTTTCACACCCTTGATATCCGGGTGTTTCCTCAACGCCTGGAGCAGGGGTTCCAGAGACAGTACGAACAACAGCGGGGAAAGGGGGCATCCCTGCCTCGTACCGTTGTGAAGTTTAAATGGCCGGAGCGGGGCACCCGTTATTTTTACCTGGGCATGTACATAAGCGTACATAGCTTTTATTAATGTTAAGGATTGTTCAGGGAATCCTAGGTGTGAGAAGAGCGTGAACAAGTACGGCCATTGGACTCTATCAAATGCTTTTTCGGCATCGAGCGAGAGCAGTAGTGTTGGGGTGTTATTGGTTGCCTGTTTCCATATGAGGTCAATGTTTCTGCGAGTGTTCTCAAATAGTTGCCTACCGGGTATAAAGCCTACTTGGTCTGCATCCACTAGCTCTGTGAGGTATGGGTTGAGTCTATTCGCCTGTATTTTTGCAAGTATTTTCATGTCGTGGTTTATAAGAGATATGGGTCGATAACTCTCAGGGAGGAGCGGGCCCTTGTCGGGTTTAGGTAATAAAACGATGGTAGCTAAGGACATGTCTTGGTTAGGCGTCCCCCCCCCTTTTAAAATCATTGAATAGTGTTGTCAGGTGGGGCGTCAGTTCCTCCCTAAATGTCTTATAGTAAGTCCCGTCATACCCGTCCAGTCCAGGGGCCTTATTGCTTTTCAGCTCTGATATAGCCCGGTCAACTTCTTCTGGTAGGATTTCCCCTGCCAACCTGGAACTCGCCTCTTGAGATACTTTAGGGAGATTCAGATTGGAGAGGAATTTGTGTGTCAGTTCTGTATCTGTCGCTATTTGCGTTGCTGTGGTGCAATTTGATATTATGTGATACCGGTTAGTTTTTTCTATTTGTTATGGTCTTTTCGCTTGTGAGTCATTGTGGTGTGTCCCATGACGAGCTTGTCTCTTTTCTCCCTTCCTGTGTGTTGTGTGATTCTGGTTGTTTTGTCTGAGCGTACATTATGTCGCAAGTTATGAGTATTTGCGGGTGAGCGTTTGCTGCTGCCCAACGTGCAAAGTGGGCCTCCTTCGAGTTTTGAGTCAGGCCTGCCTTTCTCAACCTTCTTTTCGTGGTTTGCATATCTTTGTGTGTGTGTGCCTTACACTTTCCGTGAGTGTGTTGCTTGTGTCTGTGTTGTTTATGTTTACCTGTAGGTGTCTGTCAGTCACTTTACTCACTCTCCATCTCCACGTGGGTAGTGTCTTGGGATGTAGACCTCCGTGGTTGCTTATCTATCTGTGCTTCTTCAGTTTTTGTGTGTTTGCTTGTTTTGTTTC